AGGGCCCACATTGGACCCTCCAGGATCTCCCAAGATCTACACTGGAGTGCCACTAAAGTTACTTGTGCAATTGCCACTGAAATCTGGGACAATGGCATTGGCTTCTCCAATGTGCAAGTGTCCCTATTAATTCTGTAAACAGGGGAGAACATTTGTGTTTTCAATGCTGAGTCGCACCAATTGTTGATTGCATTGTGGCAGGAAGTGGGAAGAAGCAAGGCTGAAAAAAGTGGCCCGGGGAGCCATCAGATATTAGCAACATAAGGATGTTCTAAACTCTTGCTTTGGTCATTTCTTAACCATTTTTCTTTGAATTACAAATTTGTTTCTTTTTTTCCTTCTTCTTTCCCCCAGTCTCTCTTATGTGGCCCCTCCTTCAATATAGCCTCCATTCTGCCATTCTTGGAGGCTCTTCCAGAAGATACTATTTCTGGTCTAAGCATTCATGCTCTTTGCAGTTCACGGCTAGGGCAGTATGACCAAACTATTGACAAACTTTTAGAGAGATGCCCTGAAGCAATCATACCTTATGCCCAGCATGAACTAAAGGATGAGCGTCAGGTAAGCCTTGTAACCTTTATTTGCCTCTTTGCTCTGCTGTGCTTTCTCCTTCAAGGGTTTGTATACCCACTTGTTTGTTTAGCTATTTTCTTTATTCAGCCTCCCATCAATCTTTTTAAAGAGTAAGACACCCTTAATGAAGCACATCTATCCAAGAGGTTTAAAAGCCTCAAGAGAGTGAAAACTCCCAAATGATTTTTGCAAAGTTTAGTCCAAAAAGGCATCTTTTCTGAGCCCTGTTAAAATAATTTATTAAATGCTATAGGGAAGTTAATAGATTATTTTCCCTTGGGTAAGATAAAACTGGCATACGTTAGGGAACACATGCTGAAACACCTTGGAGACTTCCTGTTGCAATTTCCTCTAACTTATCTCCAAGTGTTTTTGCCTCATAACACTTCATTATAGAAAGTAGTAAAGCTCCTGCTGCCCTGCAAACACTTCAGTCTTGCTAATTGTCATCTTTAAGGGGATCTTGTAACACTTTTGAGACAGAGAAAGAAGTAAACTCAAGTCTGCTTCATCAGATGGATCAATGAAAGCTTAAGACTGTGAAAGCATTATGCTATCAATGTCTTTCTCTCAGTTAGTCTCAAAGGTGCTACAAGATCCCTTTGAAGACTACAAGATCCCCCTTGCATACTGATCCGGACTCATACAGCTACGGCTTTTAATTGTAGTCTAGTTGTGGATAGATGAATATAACACATTGTATATAAGTCCTGTTGATGTCATCTGATATCCATATGTAATTTAACAGTAGCATCCATGTAAATATTAGGGGCACATCCATCTAGATCCACTTTGTAGTCTAGAGATTTTACTGACTCAATGGGACTTATCAAATGTTTATTCACCACATGCTATGTGATAATTTTATTTACAAAGCAGCTTTCGGGAAAATAAATTTGTGACAGATGGAGTCGCAACAGTTGTGGTAATTGCCCAAATACTGAGGAGAGTCTTTATTGCATTCTAACTGGTAAAAATTCAAAACAAATACACGCACGTAGAGATATACATAATTACACATATACATATGTGTAATGATGTTGGTCATTTGGCTGTTTATATTATCGTAATGGCTAAATAAACAAAGTCACAATCCAGTGGGATTATATGGAATGTTCATTCCATAAATGAAGATAAACTTCCCAGATTAGCAAAATTAGACTTAAACATAGGCTTGGGATGTAACAGCTCCAAATTAATTCATGAACTGTTCATGAACTGGCATGAATCAGCATGCCTGTTGGCCATGCTGACAATGGCTGCTGGAGTCATAGTCCAACAGTTTCGGGAGGCAAAGTGCTTTGAATGCAGTTTTCCTGCTTCTTGGCAGGGGGTTGGACTGGATGGCCCACAAGGTCTCTTCCAACTCTATGATTCTATGATCCTGTATAGGCAATGCTTCTTGAAAACTTGAAAACAAGCCAGAATGTTCAGCATCTTGCATAGTTCACTTCTGTACTCAATGGAAAATAAATAAGCAAATACATACAGATGGTTTCTATGTGCTATTATCACAGAAGGAGCTTTCCTTGGCATAGTTTACACATGGAATACTTTACCCTATTGTGCCATTAATCTGGCGGGTTTCTATTTCTCTAAATTCATAATAGCACTAGAGGGAGCCATCATCACTCTTATGCATTGCAAAGCTTTGAAAGAATCATGGCAAGGTATATCTTGTAAACAGAAAAAGGAGCCTGGAATACTCAAAAGCTTGCCATTTAATATTTGTTAGTGTCCCTTGTTACATCTTAAATGTGTTTCTTCAGCTGTAGCACTATTTTTTTTAATCCGGGTCTTTGTTTTGTGGCTGGTTAGGCTCTCTGGTGGAACAAACTCCTTCCTGAGCTTTGTAAAAGGACCAGACAAAAGGGAGAAAACTATTCTGTGCTCCTGTCATCCTTACAAGGTAAAGAAATGTACTTCTGTATTTCAAATGTGCAGGGGCTTTGTGATACACTGAGAGCCTTTTGGTTTACAAAAAGTCATTATAGAGGGATGGGATGTGGTCATTTGGTCTTCCATCAAGGGCTAATGGTCAGCTGTGAGAATCCCGTGGGTTCAGGGATAACACACACACACTGCTGGGCCTGGGAGGGCTACAGCTCCTTGGAGGATTAGAATATTTTTAAATGGTTTAAAGCATTGTTAACTCAACGGGCCCACATACACACGGTGACCCAAAATTGATGTACGCTTTAACAGCTAATAATACCTATGACAATTGTTTGAAGGCTAGGAGCCCCTGGGGGCGCAGTGGGTTAAATGCTGAGCTGTTGAACTTGCTGATCGCAAGATCACAGATTTTAATCTGGAGGGGAGGAACACATGAGCTCCCACTGTTAGCCCCAGCTTCTGTCAACCTAGCAGTTTGAAAACATGCAAATATGAGTAGATCAATAGGTACAGCTCTGGCGGGAAGGTAACGGTGCTCCATGCAGTCATGCTGGCCACATGACCTTGGAGGTGTCTACAGACAACGCTGGCTCTTCAGCTTAGAAATGGAGACGAGCACCAGCCCCCAGAATAGGACATAACTGGACTTAATGTTAGGAGAAAACCTTTACCTTTTACATATATGTTTAGCATCCCATTACCCGAAATTCCAAAATGCTTTCATACGCCAAAATTCAAAATTGTTCTCATGGATGACTTGAGATAGTGATGCCTTTGTTTTTTCATGTTCAGTGAACACAAACTTTGTTTCATGCATGACAATTATTTAAAATATTTTGAATGGCTTTAGAAATTAGGCCAAGGGTTACAGGTTTGCCTTCTCCTGTTTTAATGAATCTATTGAAGAATTGCTGTTAGTTCTTGTGTAGAACACATGTTTTCCACCCCGAGTCCCTCCAGGGAGATAGAACAGAATATAAATAAAGATGATGATGATGATGATGATGATGATTATAATTATACAAAAGAGCTATACTGAATAAAATGTATAACTGTCTGTATCTACACTTGATATTCCAGAAATTAGGAATTAGTGATGAAAAGACTACCAAAGATAATGCATAACCAAGAGAGCTAGGAACCTTTGAATTCCCCCCCCCAAAAAAAATTTGAACAGCTAAAATTAATGAGACATACTGTATACATCTCATAATGCAATATGTTTTTGTAGTTAACCGTCACATTTGCTGAGATTAGGAGCACAGCACCCCCCATTAATGTGAAAACCATGATTAAATAAATTGCATTTTTACTAGAGATAACACTTCTCTAGGAATGTTTAGGTCTTCTAGCATGACACTGTGGTTGAATTCCAGTGAAAGTTGACCATAGAATCATACTAAAGGAACTAGAGTTTCCTAGCGAGGTATTTTTTCTAGAAATCCTTAGGTTCTCCAGCATGACTCTATGGTCTAAGTTGACCATAGAATGAAACTGGATGATGTAGGGAATTCCTAGGAAGACATTTTAATTACATTTGTAAATGTGGAGGAACCACTGTAATGTATTAAATATGATGTAATACTGGGGTGTTGTGTGGTTTCCGGGCTGTATGGCTATGTTCTAGCAGCATTTTCACCTTCATCTGTGGCTGGCATCTTCAGAGGATCCAGCTACAGATGCAGGCAAAAAGTCATGAGAAAATGCTGCTAGAACACAGCCATACAGCCCAGAAACTGCACAACACCCCAGTGATTTTGGCCATGAAAACCTTTGACAATACATAATGCAATACATTTAAACATGGTATCTGTATCTTGCTTATCCAGAAACATTATCTGTTATTGCCACGGAACTGGAATTAAAGGACTTCCTTAACGTTCTGCCAGAGGATGGAAATGCTGCTTTTTTCCTCCCGCATCTGCTCCAGTGCAGCAGAAGGAAACTCATGACCTAAGTGAAACCAGAAGTGGGGCAAATGCCGCCGCAGATCTTTTGGGAGGAACCAGGCAGATGGAACTTCACAGCGCAGCTATGTATCTAAAGACTATAGGTTTTGTTCTTCAGCACATCTCATAAGTATGAGAAAGGTTTGTTTGAAAATATCCTAGTTTGTGTGTGGCCTGAAATCCATGCTCTAAAATACCTCTTGGGACATTACAAGGCAATCGCCCTCATTACTAGCAATCCTAAAACTCAGGCATTGCGTGTATGCTAGACAGAAACTGTGGACCATGCTGATAAGGATTGCAGAGATACCTTTACTATATGGATATCACTCAGATATTTCTTTTTCCAAGCTTCAATTTCACCTCTGGAATCTAATAATCCATGTCAGAAATAGAGTAGGGTTTTTTTCTTCCTCTGATACCCATAAACAGAATTAAGATCATCTCCATATATAATGTAGATTGAGTTTGGGGAGTACAGGTTCTATTGTGGACTGTTCATACTTCTGTAATTGGACTGAAACAAGGTGGTAGGTCTGCAATTATGGTTATCTGAGATTTTTTTACATTGATGACAAATGCTGTTATTTGATCTTTCTTTAATTTGTCTTCTATCTGTATTTACAATATTTACAAAGTAAATAACTTGAAGTCTCATTTATTTCTAGAGAATGCATTTAAAATATTTCTTTAACAAAAATATTGCAAAGCAACTAACAAAAAAAGAGTAAATGTTTTTCTGGGAAATTGGTAGAAAAAGTTTTGTTGTCATCCTTCTTGCTGTGAGTTTTTTCCATTTGTAATGAAGTATTAAGAAGCTCATCTTGTGAGGAAGGGGAGAAGTTGTTCACCTGACATTTTTCAGATATGAGACTGCTCTCCAATGGACATCTTCACTTGCTCTTGTTCAATATCAGCACTATATAAGTGGAAGAAAATAGATACTATTTAGTTTTCAATTAATTTCAAATTAAAATATGATTTCATAATACATAGCTTTTGTTTTAATGTTGGCATGTGTGAGCTGTTCTGGTATTTGTCCCTGTTGTCCACTTTATGGTAGCTGAAAAGCTAACAGCATACTTTGAATGTATTTGTCCAATATCAGACAGGTAACCCTTTTAGCCTGCAAGACATTGGATTGTGACTCCTGCCGTTCTTGATATCTGACTGTTGAAAGGCATAGTTCAACAACACCTGCTGTCTTGGCCACAGTGTTTTGTTAAACGCCGATTGTTTCTGAGGACCTACATAACCAGCATTGCACGTATGCCTGTACAGTTGAAGCAAATTGACAAAGTATATTTAATCAATTGGAGGTGCTCCTTCACTGTAGAAATAATGCAATTTTACACCACTTTAACTGCTATGGCCCAATACTATGGAATAATTTGGTGGGGCACCAGCACTTTGGCAAAGAAGGCTAAAGACTACATGTAAAACTACAACTCCCATTCTTCATTAGCATTGGACCATGTATATTTAAGTAGTATCAAACTGCATTAATTCTACAGTGAAGATGCACTCAGAGAAAGGGAACAAAATGCAATGACTGCTACAGTCTGTTCATAGACTGTAGCAGGTCATGCATGGCTTCAGCTGCACCATTTCTAGGTACTACACTGATGTACCTAAAACAGATGCTAGGTGGAGTTCAGAAAGGTTTTACTGTTGCCATTTTTTTCAGCATGCCAACATTGAGCTAAGAAGGCCCCATTTGAGGTCAGGACCCATGGTTTAAGAAGCAGTGTTCCAGACAGCATTTTGCTTTGTGCCTTGTCTTTCCGTTGTGTAGTGGCACTTTATGCATTACATGTTGTAGCTTCATATTGTGTGTTGCAGTTACAGATCGTAACAGTGTAACACACTGTGACGCCGAAGATGAAAAGGGGAAGGCCTTTACCTTGCCTGAGCATTGTATGTCATTGTTCATTGTGCAAAAGGCATTGAATGTTTGCCCTATATGTATACTGTAATCCGCTGTGAGTCCCTCCAGGGAGATAAAGTGGAATATAAATAAAGTGTATTATTATTATTATTATTATTATTATTATTATTATTATTATTATTGTGCAATTGCACGTCTTTTTCATATACTGCACAATGTTGCTGTTCTGGATGGAAAGCAGATAGTAGGCTAACATGGTGATATTAGACTAGACTGAGGAGATGTTGAATTGCAGCCTGTATGAACATAAGCGTTTGCTGGTCCCTATCCCAATTAGAACAGATCAGTTGAATCCCTTGCATTTGTCTACATGTTGACTCACCATTCAACAACTGATTCAGTGGGACTAACCGGTAGGATTCAGGCCATTAAATTTGGGCAATGCTTCATAGCCTATACTTCATACTGCCTCTGATGCTCAAGCCACTAGCCTAGGTAAGAACTTCCCTTTAACCATATTTCTACTTACTTTTCTTTGGGGAGCACTGTATAGGTAGTCTCCATACCAGCATGGATGTGGTCAGTCACATGGCAGTGCAGTAGCCAGGTCCCAGGATTGTTTGGAACCATTTCAATGGTTTGGAAGGTTCCAGGAAAGAGATCAAAGACATCGTTTCGGAAGTTTCTGGTTTGCTTTTAGAAGGCATCAGGGAAGGAACCAGACAGTCAACACAAGAATAGTTATTGAACTAATCACAAAAAGTAATACAGTGAGTTCAGAAAATTGTTATGGAAGTTTTGAATAGCTTTCGTATAGAAATTGTTCATAATTGTACCTGAAAATGCTGATAACCTGATTTGTAAGACAAAATTTTAATTATAATTTATTGGTAATCATATTTTTTTAGTTAATTACTATTGATATTAGAAATCAGCAAGCAGACAAAAATTATATCTCAGCATGCTAGTTGAGAACTGTGGCTGAAGCACCTGGCTCTGGATTTTAATTTCAAGCCCTATGAGTATTTCCTGGCCCTAACTATTTCCATGTTCCCTCGACTAGGACATTGAGGAATCGTAACACTGTTTGGAATCATAACACTATTCTGTGTAGAGCAACACTGCAGCAAAATATAGCATGTGTTTTGCAAACCTAGCATCAGCATATGTGCCATTGCCCTCATCACCCATATAAAGGAAAAGGCAGGAATACAAATCATTGTCTTTACCTTATAATCAAAGCTGTGGCCATGGAAATGTGCTGTGTGCATATCTACTTCATTCCCCATTCCCAGCAAGTACCAAACGACATTATCTCCGACGTGCATCGTAAGGCCATGCAAATTCCCAAACACTCTTCCATTAATGACTAAGAAAAAAAAGTTTACAGTGAAAATAAATGTGAAATATTTCCGTGAAAGAATTTTAGCAAGCTGACCAGACTACTGTATTCAGTAGAAGCTACAAACCTTGTCTAAATCTTAATAAAGTTCTAATCTAAGTTCTTGTAACTTTTAAACCAAACATCATTAAAGCATCTTGATCCAGCCATTTTGGATAGTTTTCACTCTATGAATAACAAATATGGTTAGTCAACCCAAACAAAAGAGATGGTTTAAGGAGTGTGTAATAACCATTTAGGGATTTTAAAAAAACCCAGCAGGTGCCTTGGATATTGTTTAAATATGCTAGAATTCTAGATTGTAATTATCAAAATAATAGTGTGATGAACAGAAGTGTCTATATTCTACTTTAGCATGTAGAAGTCACCAAACTGATTCACTATTATAAGTGAAATTTCACATACCATGCATTTTATTGCTTTCAATGAAGTCCTCGTCTTCCTTGTTCACATCTTCTAGATTAGCAGAGTATGTCTTGATATTCTCATCCAAGTACCAAGACTCATTTTCATCAAACACCATAAAAAGAAGAGCAAACTCCACCCTTTTTGGAGGTGGATGCAGAGACAAAAGTTCTCTGCGACAAACTAAGAGTGTGCCTATCAATCCACTGTATACGTCCTAAAAGCAAAAAAGGAAGAACAGAAAAGAAAGAATAGTCGTCCATTATGACTTGTATATTGGGATGAGAAATATCTCATAATGTGAAGCTATATTGTAAATGGGGTTAAAAAAAACTTCATTACTAAAACTACGTGGGTTGAATCAAGTTAGACCCCATCGAAATCAATGGGATTTAAGTCACGCATGAATGTTCACTATGACCTTGGCCCTGTCTGGTACTTTGACTGGATTGTCCCTCTGAACTAGAATTCTTCTGAAGAGGTCTAGAAAACCTCTGATGCTGCAAAGAGATAAAGCAGGAGATGTGGCCTGGAGAGGGCAGTCCTGATTCTTTTAGTATTTAATACTAGAGAACATAGTTAATTTCAGCCACTGATGTTTATGGGACCCAGTAGTAAGTTCCCAAGTCTGCACATAACCCCTTACATTTACATCCATTATTAACAAATGCCTTCTTCCAACAATGCTGTCTTCCAGGTCAAGCAAAGAGATGTTAGGTTTTTCCTGCTCCAAATTTTAATGCTCAAATTCAGGTTTATAATATCTCTACCTTAAAGGGAAGGAACAAGTAATCCCACCCCCCAATATTGCTGGACTCCAGCTTCTCCCAGTTCTAGCCAGTATGGCTAATTATCAAGGATGTTGGTAGTTCTAATACAATATCTGGAGAGTCCCAAGTTCACCAGCCCAGTGTTGGAAGCTCTGTGTTCAGAAGCATTGGGGTACATGCAGTTTCACCTTTCAGTATTCACAAAGCTGGTCCACAGCAACACAGCTTTACTAAGGAATGAAGTTAACATGCAGTGCTAATATAGAAATTCTTGGAAAGAGAATACATTTGATCATAACCATGATGAGCTTCATTTTGGACTTGGAGATCTCTCATTCATAGAGTCACCGTACGTTAAAGTCAAATTAACAGTTAGCAAATAATACTAAGAGCTTACTTTAACTTGGTCCACTGTTGAGTAATATGCCCAAGGGATACAGGTTGATTCTCTTTCTCCAGGACCAGATCTTCTGGGTATTTTCCAAATATACTCTCTTACTGTACCTAAGCAAAAGACATAGTAATGTAAACATGAATTTACCTTAAAACTTTTTTTTGTATTTTCCTACCAGCTAATGCTATAAAATAGAACAAATAAAACACAATTATATGAAAAAACATACATTTTATTACATTTAATAAGAAACTTTATTTCTATCCCATCACCATCTTCCCAAAGGGATTTGGGGCAGCTTACAAAGCACTCCAAGGTGCCAAGTGTGAGCTTCATATGGAACTATTCAGCCTACTCAAGGTCAAAGGCCTGTCTGAACATCATGTTTTCAAGTTAGAATGGAAGGATTGAAGGGTGGGGGCTAATTAATCTCTTTTGAGAGGGTATTCCAGAGCCAGGGGGCCACCACAGAGAAGGCCTTCTCTCTTGTCCCCACCAACTGTGCTTGAGACAGTGGTGGGACCGAGAGGAGGACTTCCCCTGTCCATCTCAGAGCCCACACTGGTGTATAGAAAGAGTTTAACTCTCTGTACACTGCATAGGGCTTGTCCATTGTTGTTCTTGTGTGCCTTCAGGCCATTTCTGATTTATGCTGATCTTAAAGTCAACCTATTAAAAGGTTTTCTGAGGCTAAGAGTGGGTGACTTGCCCATTTCACCAATAGGGCTTCATATCCAAGTGGATATGCAAATCTAGTTCCCAAAGTTGTAGTCCAACACTAAACCACTACACCCTGCTGGCTCCATGGGCCTGTATATATTGATCTGAAATCTAACAGATGAAATTTCTAAAGCAACAAATACATTAAAAGAAGCACAACTAGGTTCAAGTTTTTTATGTTGTTAGCAGATGGTCAGGACAATGTTTTTGAAAGAGACAATTACATAGTCCCTGAAGAAGACCATAAGAACATATAGGCCAAAAGGCATTGGGCTTTCACCGTAATAAAACAGTTGTCTATTGAACATTGTCCCACATATCCAGTTTTTCCTGTGGATTCCAGTTTTTTGTCTCTTACACTTCCCCTTAACCTCCTAAAAGCTTGCCTGTGCTCCTTCCGTGTAACTTGGTTAAATCTACAGTTTGGCTCCTCGCATATGTTTCCTCAAGGTGTGGGGGATATATAACCAATTCTTAATACAAGACAGAATAACAAATATAAAATAATATATTTACCTGGGCTAGTTTCCACTACCAATGGAGAATCAGTTTTCACTCCATGTGCATGTATAGAATAAGTTCTAGAAGCCATGTTCTTAAAAACAATTTTAATTGTATCCCTAACATCTGCAGTAAGAAGGGGACCTTTTGGGGGGGGGGGGAATAAAATATGTTACAAAAATCATAGCACAAAAGGAAATATCAGCATCCTAAGAGATATATAAAACTACAAATAATAAATCAGTGCAGCAGAATTCCATTTTTATCACATTTATATTTTAGGGCTTATAACCACTTAATGGTGTGCTTAAATTTCAATGAAAGAAAGCTGAATTTTTCTTGGATTGAATTAAACATTTCAAAAACTAATTCTAAAACTCTATCCTCAAACTGTAGACCTGGTTCAGGCATAACACTACTTAAACTCAAAGCTTGGTAATTTCCCAGTAGCCCCCCATCAGCAGGGCCACTAGGGATGTGAAGGACCTATCATCCCTTTTGACCATAGCTAATGGTGAGAGATTATGGTAATTAAAGTCAGGCACTATAAAGAGAAGAACATATTCAGCATTCCTAATCTAAACCATAAAGGAGTGAGGACAAACTTCTAATTTATATGTTTCCCCTCTACTGTCCTTGTCCTGTCATGGGAGATTGGGAAGCATTAACTCAGTTTGACATTTCAGCCAAAGGATTTGAGGATGATCACAACAAGGCAAAGCCATTAGTTAATTCAATAATTAATGTGTGCAACAGGTATCTGCAAGAGAGAAAGCGTGTATCCCCATGTCATGGTAGTTGGATTTCACAAGCTATAAGCTGGAGCACTCCACAGGCAATATCCAGGCATGTGTCCACACTTCTCATGGCTTTCAGAAAAGTCACAAGGATTTGTGTTTGCACTAAGTTTATCTATGCCACCCTTCAAAAAGCAACTGGAGGTTATTGGAAGGGGCACATAGTATGACATCCCCCATTGTGTGTCTAGGGACTGGGCGTTCAGATTAGATAGAAAGACACAATGAAGAGGGAAGGGATGTAAACAGCAGAATAGGCTCTAAACAGCAGAATAGGTATACATGCAAACTTATGTTAGACTGACCATATACCACTCTGACTCGCTGAATTGCCTTTGAATCTCCCCCTTGTTGAATCTCCCCCTTGTGAGAAGCAGCTAGTACTGCAGAACCATCTAGTTTTGTCCATATAGTCAGACTCCAATGATCACAGGCGTGTTGAGACCTTCGCAGGACCGTGGTGGGTCTGATTGCCATCAATTCTTTTCTGACTAAAGGAGACAATACTGTGATTCTGCCTACACCATGAAATGAGGCTGCTCAGTAAGGCAAAGGGGGCTTTAAATACTGGGCGCATGCTAATCCCCACATTGCCCCAAAAAAGGGGCATATCTTCCTAACAGGATGCCAGCCTAGTTCAATCAAGTATGCTTATTGTCCAGTCTGTTTTTGAAATGATTATAACCCTAGCTAATTGGATTATATCCCTAGCTAATTTACATTACCTTACTGACCAGGGCTGAGGCTCTGCTAAAGTAGAACTATCAAACCTCCCTGCACCTATGGGATCAATATGCTGCCATTTCTATGTCCACCATATAGATCACAGTGTTGAGGTGACTAGGGCTCCCTCACTGATCTATTTCCATATAGTGGGCAGGTTCCATTTCCATGGAAGTTCTAATCAGAGATGAACACTTGTTTTGGTGCAGTGAATGGAAAAATGCCTTCTCATCTGGATGCTCTGTATTCACACTGGAATATTTATGTGAGTAGTTTGATACACTGCTCCCATCAATATGCATTTTGAGGATCACCCCATAACATTCAGTATAATCACAATTCATACCTAAAAGTCCCAGATGTTCTTCCTTTTCTTTCCTTTCTTTGAGTTTGCTAAACGTTTGGTCCGTATATTCCCGATAAACTGCTTTCTTGTATTTTGATCCAATAAACTTATCCTCTTTGTTTAAAAATGCATTTCCTGGACTGAAAGTAGAAAAAGTGATGCAAGCATAAGGATAATATTCCTACCCAACAATTTCATAGTTAAAACTAACCAACTGTACTCTAGTCGAGCTGAAAAATATGATCTCCAAATATTCAGTCTGAAATGGTGTTTTAGCTCAGTTGGCCCTCCAAGAGGTTTCTCAATGATGCTGTCATTCATGAAGAATAAAAGAATTTAAACAGAGTACAACATATTTAACATATTGTCAAATTAAAATAGGTGTAGGAGATTAGAATAGCTGAAAAACACAGTTCATTGCATTTGAAATAGATCAGTGAGATTCAAAAAATTTAATAAATAGCTATGTTTTTACTTGGTGCCTAAATAAAAGCAGTATTGTGCCAATTGGGTCTCCAAGGAGAGGATATTCCACAACCAAACTGCTATAATCACAAATGAGATTTGCCACATTCCCACAGTGTATTGTCCTCCTGGATGGGACAAGGAGCAGTCCCACATACAAAGACAGATTCAGTCCTCAGATAGGCACACATAGGAAGAGACACTTCCTCAAGTATAGAGGTTCAAAGCTTCACAAATTTAAACAGCTCAGCGCAAGTACTTTCAATTCTGATCAGAAGTATATTGGCAGCCAGAGCAATTCTTTTTGGACTGGCATGTTGCGATGTTTATTCTGTACATATGCGGTACATTACACATGCATGCATGCACACTTGCTGATTTAGAAATTTAGTACTATTTGCTCCAAAACTATATGTCAGGACCAGTATGTGGATACACTGCCATTGGAGTTGGCAAATCGGCCCTTCAGCTTATTACTTCTTTCTTGTAGAGGTTCTAAACTGAAAGATGCCTCTGCCATTCTAGGTCCTACTTTCAACAGCTGCAGGAAGAGGACAGTAAAATTGAGGGTAGATTAACAGCTTCTGTAGTGTACTGATTTTCATTGTTGTATGTACACACTGTTGGGTGCTGGGTTTTGTTGCCGTTAATTGTCCAAAAGTCTTAAAGCATTATAGAAATGTTATTTATGTGATTTCAATTTTGTAATAAAATGAACATATGGTTTTTGCATGAGTGCTGTGATTCCACTGCATCAAATGTGTGCTTCCAGTCATGCTGTGGTTCCATTGCATCAAATCTGTGCTTCTCAACCTGTGGGGATGCAATAGCAACCTGCGTTTGCTGGTAGCAATTTTGTTCATATAGAATTCAAAGACTTAGCTATGTAAGTTTGGAATATCAATATGCAAAGAAGTCTTCTAGCACACTAAAGACCTATAGCGCAACAAAGCTGATAGTGTAAGCTTTCATAGATTGAGTCTTCTTTCTCTGATGAATTTCAACCTAGGTTTCAATAATCCCTTCGGATTATAGTGCTATGATTCCATCTAAATTGCTGTGGAGCAGTGTGGGAGGAAGGGGACACCCTCCTAGCCAGCCAGATCAGCCGAATCAACCCTGGCGATCAATGGGGTGACAGATGTCGCAGCCAGATCACCCTCACATCCTTTAAATTGCTGTGACTCCATCCCAGTATTAGCACTACAGGGAGGAATTCTTAAAATTCTCGATCAGAGAGCTCTATTGCAGTGGTTCTCAACTGTGGGTCCCCAGGTATTTTGGCCTACAACTCCCAGCAATCCCAGCCAGTTTACCAGCTGTTAGGAGTTGAGGGCCAAAATATCTGGGGACCCACAGGTTGAGAACCACTACATCTAGTGCCTCACAAAACTGCAAACCCCAACAGTCCACAAGATAAACCTTTTGCAGTTCCAGTGGAATCGTGGCACTATAGTTTTGTAATGTGAAAGGGTCCCTGGTACAATACTACACCACATATTTATAACACCATGATTCCACTTCAACTGTAAAGGATGCCTCCTATGAAATTCAAATGTTCTTAGTTTCTTGAGGCAACAGAGCTCTTTGCACAGAACTCTAAAAGTCTCTCCCTGAAATGACAATCCCAGGATTCTATAGGATTGGACCATGACAGTTAAAGTGAAACATAGCACTATAACTATGTGGTATAAAAGCTCGCTGGTTTATTAATTCATTCACTTTACACTTCCACCCCTAAAAATGAATGAAAAGGGGGGAAATGTTCTTCTCATTATTATACCTTTCATCATGAAATTGATGTAGCTCATGCTCCCATGTCCTGTTGGGGGAATAGTCCCATTCAATCTCTACAGCTGCAATATAGTAGGTTTTCTCTTGGAGATACCCCACATTTTCCTCTGGTGAGGTATCACACCTCTTTACTTCATATTTCTGTCTCATACCCGCCGTATAATGATCTGTTGTCAGACATGCCACCTCAAATATTCCTAGAAGAACATATAGGAAGCACACAGATAAAAACAAGTCAAACACTTCTAGAATATGAAACACATAGTCTAGAACACTGTTTCATAAACCCCAAATGGCATCCCCTTAGCTCAATGCTGGGGTCCCAAAAAATCAGCAACAAGAAAAGTGCCTGTTTAAGACACTCTTGAGCAGTTTATAGTTGACTCTGCAGAAAATGCTTCAGCTATACTTTGTGAAAAGAAAAATCAGCCTGTTTTTCTTTTCACCTTTGCAAATACTGATTTGCTATCAGGAAACAATTGAATTACTATTAAATGTTGCCTATTTTATATGCCTCTATATCCGGAGTGATCTAAAGATTTCTCGGAACAAAAGGGGACCCAAATGGAAAAGTTTAAGAAACCCTGGTCTAGAAATGGGGGTAATGGTTTATGAGTTCACATTTTACTGCAAATGTAACTAATTTCTATACTAATAACATATAGAAACTCAGTTGATTTTTTTCACATTTGCACTTTTCTGAATCTTGCATTGTCTTTTTCTGATCACAACTACAGGCAGTCCCCAAGTTATAAACAAGCCAGGTTTTATAGGTTTGTTCTTAAGTTGAATTTATGTGTAAATCAAAACAGGTACATTTTAAAGTGTAACTCCAGCGTATGTGTGTGTGTTTGTGTACACACACACACATGGGTGGGTCAAAAAGTAATGCCTCCATCACTCTAACTTTTATTTCTTTCACAGCTACTGGACTATCGATGCATGATAGGGATAACCTTATTCTACTTGATATAGTCTTTTCTTTTTCCAATTGACTGATTAGAACCATGAAGCTGAAAGGAAGAGTCATTATTGAATTTCTGGCAAAAGAAGGTTGTGCGCTTAAGGAAATCCATAATTGCTTGAAGAATGTTTATGGGGACGCTGTAAAGGACATCAACAATGTGCAACCTCAGAAAGATAACCTATGTGGTTTCAGATTCAATGCCTTGAATGACCTTAAAACAGTTTTAAAATCATGGGTAATGAAGCCATACCCTGATTTTTTTCCGAAATGGTTTTGATGTCTGGCTTAAACAATGGCACAAATGTGTACAAATTGATAGTAACTATGCTGAATGGTAATTTTGCGTAGAAGATGAACCTCTGCCATAGTTATGCCTGACAAGATAGAATGTCAGACATTGTTTTGAAGGAGCATAGGTTACAGCTGAAAAACACAGGATGTGTATATTTGGTTTAATTACAACAACAACTAGGCAAATGTTTAAAAATAGTAAAGACATTTTTGTTGTTTACCTTCTGAGTCAGGCTTCATAATAGCTGTGACAGAGGTGTGAGGAAATAGATTGGTTGTATCCTTCCTTGTCCCTTGAGTTAGAAAAGTATTTCCTGAGAAATGTATTCCATGGATGTCAACCTCTGATCCCAAGCCAATCAGATGCCAAGAAACAGTTTCTCCACTACACATCTCAAGACCTTTCAAGTTTCCATACATGTATCCATTTATGGCTGCCAAAGAAATAAGACAATTCAACAATCTGCCAACATTCCACAGCTAATAGTCTTTTTCAAATTTAATATCAATAAGAAGCCTTTTAGCAAATTAGAGAATCCATGACAACAAGCAGACCTATTTCTTGAACCTCTTTACCTAAGGGGCAAGGGACGACTGAATTATGCAGCATCATAAGTACTGAAAGGTAGCTGGTATTCAGTATTGCAGTTATGGATTTGTAGCCTACAGTTACAAATCTATAACTGATATGTGTCCAGTAATGCTAGACAGTCTTAATATTAACTTACATAAATATAAAGCAAATAAACAAATAATCGTAAAGGTGAATTGGGTCCTTCTCTCTTGCATCCATTACAAATACATCATGAATACAGATTTTTGCAGTAGATAAAGAAATCACTATGGCGAAAAAAATGCAATCATCCAAGTTGCATAGAAAATTAACTCCAATTCCACTTCTAATATAAAAGACAAGTGTTGATTCTCTCCACTGATCAAACCTGAAGCTGCCTGATTTTAGGACATGTCTATCAGCAGTGCACTTAGATGGAAGGCCACCAAAAAATAGCAGAGATACTAGGGAGAAATGTCCTGTTTTAAACCCTGGAAAGCCTCTGCTAGTCAAAATTGACAGTATGAACAAGATATATTAAATTCCAATTCCAATTAAGCAGCACCTATAATAGAGCCTCCAAATCTCTGCTGCCGCACAGTGCTTCTAGGGCAAGAGATATGGAAGGAGGGATGGGAGAGGTGGAGTCAATTCTGTTTTCCTTCCCACTAACATTTCTGGTGAACATCCTCTATTTTGGCCAACTTCAGTATTGCAAACTAAGAAAAGAGGTTAAAATTTGCCTTACTCAGTATATATATGCTAAATAAAACTTACAGTGCATCATATTAGATTCCTGGAAATCTTCATCCTCTTTGTCAATTTCATTAGGCGTTTTTGTGTACTGTTTAATATTTTCATCCAAATACCAGCTCAGATTCTCATCAAAGACAGTTGCAAGGAGGAAATATTCCTTGTCTACATTTTTCTGTAGCAATGGAGGAGAGGAATAGAGGAAATTTTACATTACAGTGAGTAGGATTATCTCTCTGTATAACAACATTTATTTTATTATCTAATTAATTAAAATATCTCTGAATTTAATTTAAAAGCTGTGCAAGGATACTGGAATGATTTTGTTTAAATTTGCAGGTATCCTTTTTAGACCTAATCTTATACTAACTCTGATCTTATACTTTCTTTTCCCACAAAACGAATCAGAGCCACCTAGCTGACAGTTCAGAGTACAATACAAGTTCAGAGTACCTGTATTGTTGCTGTTGGTAACTACCATCAAGCTGACTGACTTATGGTGACTCTGTGAATGAGAGACCTCCAAATTATCTTATCAACAGCAGCTTTGCTCAGGCCTTGATTTTTTTATTGAATCTACCCATTTGATTGAATCTAACCATGTGCCATGTGGTCCTTCCTCTTTTCCTACTGCTTTCTAACTTACCAAGATCCTCTGTTACTGATTAAGTTCTGTGAAACTGATGGGAAAAGGACAAGTAAGAGGAGACATTACAGGAGCATATGAAGTCATGTATAATGTGAAGAAAGCTGCAAGGAAGATCTAACATTACAATGGGAATGTAACTTTTTAAGATCAGGGGGTGGGGTTGAAAAGCAGAACAATTTGGAATGGGATAGAGCCTTACCTGTCTCCCTGAAGGAAGCAGAGCCCCCTTTCTGCATACCAAGAGTGGTCCCACCAAACCTGCACTACTGTCCTTGATGGGATCTGATGCTGAATAATACATCCGAGTTAGACAATCTGGATCTTCTGGAGTAGGACCCACAGTCTCTGGCACCTCCCATTCATAATGGAATGTGTCTCCAGGGTTTACATGTGAAGATGGTCTTGTGTTGCCTGTAATATGTTCAGAATTGAAAGGAAAATCCTACTAATGATCACACACCAATAATCCTTGTTCAATGTATACATGTTGAGTAATGTAGTTTGCCTCTTAGTTTGCCTCAGATTAGTCTCCAAACAAACATATTTACCTCCAGAACTGGTATTGAAGAAAGAACCCTCATTATCCTCACTGAAGCTCAAACCATGTGCCTGAATACTGAAAGAATAACTGGCCTTGTTTCGGAAGGTCACCTGGATAGTCTCACCAACCTCTGCTCTAATGATGGGTCCTAGTTAAAAATAAGATTTAAAACAATTCACCACAATAATCATGGCACTATATGTAAAACAGACTGCCCGATAACAACAAGGTTACCATGCTTTGCTTTTGGCAAGCCTGCCAGCATCAGCAATCAGCACACTTTGAATCCTTTTCACTGGGAAATGGCCTGGTAATGTAACTTTGCTCCAGGACATAGTAAGATTCTGTATTGTGCACTGTGGGATATTTACAATGATAGCTTATGGCTGCTCATCAAGCCAAGAGTCCTTGAGAAATTGATAGGAATCTGAAAGCTGGATGGAGCCCAAATGTCATCTATCTGCCCAGCCCTCATTTAAAAAGGCATCCCATTTAAACCCTTTCCCCTTAACAGTTACTGACTGCCAGTAGTTTCAGTTTTACCTAAAATTCCAAGATGTTCCTCAATAGGAAGCCTCCTCCGGCGTGTTTTGAATGCCTCACTGAGATACTCATAGAAAAGAGCTTTTTTGTAAGTTCCACCAATTGTTTTGTCGCCTTGTTCAAAAAAGGTCTTGGCATCCCTGTGTAGCAAAATAAAACTGCCTTAAGAGAAATATAGTTCACATTTCATTTGAATTTTGACAGTTTTTAGCCTCTTGTCATTCCCATAAGGACTGTAAATCTGCTCCCAATCTCAAGGGAACCCTTCTCCCAAAACACACTCAGTGCTGTGAGTAGCTGTTTTATGCATCAGACTAAAACCCAGAGTGGATTCAGCAGTCTAGGAACATGGAAGCCACCAGAAAAGAGCACCTTTAACTCAGTTCAGCTCAGTCCTGCCTAGGAAAGCATGCTCAGTTTCCCCTCATTTCCTGGTAAAACAATTTTGAGAGAGCCTCTTCATTGGTTGGTCCAAGACGGTGGAATTTGTTTCCCTAGGAAACTAGACTGGTCCTCAGTCTGGGGTCTCCTTCTGCCAGCAGGCAAAGATCTTTTTATCCAGACAGGCATTTAATATTTAGTTGGTTGTAAGGAGTCTTTCTATAAAGTGTATTTAATGCATTTTTAACTTTACTGTTTTGTTCTTGTATGACCCAGGGAGGAGCAAGGTTCATTGCCACCACCTATTCCAGGAAACCCAAGTGGCCAGTCTATTTCTCCCATCTCTATTTCTCCATACTTCTTTTGGGATGCCCTCACCCCAAAACAGACTACAGAGCAATGCTCTAGTGCTATACACGGTCGATACCATTGTGGTGGGAGAAAGAGGAGTCGGGGTCTAACTGAGACAGGAAGTGATAAATTGGCTAATTCTTAATGTTTAGTCTTACCAAGCTTTATGTTAGGTCTAGCCCTTGGGATCACAGCAGCTGCTCTAGTATGCCTGTTTGAAGGATCTTTGTTGCAACCACCATGGTTGCATGTATGCACATGTGGTTTCAAGCTGCCTGTTTACTTATGGCAACTCCATGAATTTCAAGGTTTTTTTTAAAAAAAAACAAGGAACACTCAGAGCTGTTTTTGTCAGTTTTTTAAATCTAACTAGGGATGACCCTGTTTAACATCCAAGATCAGAGAGGATCTGGAGCTTTTAAGACATCTACGCCTATGCTAACATGCCACTTTCCCACATAAATATAATAGCATAGGAGGAGCCCTGCTTGGCTCACTGATTCTTAGATATATACTAAGCTAGATGAAAAAGCTCAGTTGGTGAATGTATTTGAAGCATATTAGGAAAGCTAGTCATATCACACTTAGAATATAGGAAGAAATCCCTAGATGAGGTGTTTTTTCTCAGCCTTACCTACATCACAAGGTTAATCTGAGAGTATAGTATTGGATTTGACTGCTATTTCCTGGATCATTTGAAGGATAATACTTACTCATCATGAATTACTTCTTCTCCTGTAAAGTTATTTAATCCAGATGGAGCATAGTTCCAAAAAACTTCCTCTGCTGCAATATAATAACGCCTTATTTTAGTGTTCTTGGAAGAGGGAGAATGGTGTTTACAGTTTCTCACCTCAAAAATGGCTTGCATGCCACCTGGAGAAAAGAAAAACAGATTGGGTAAATGATGTTAATATATATAGGGCTGGTTTACATATTTTTAATTCTCTCTCTCTCTCTCTCTCTCTCTCTCTCTCTCCCTCCCTCCCTCCCTCTGTCTCAACATTCAGTCTATTGGTTAAATCATAGCCAACTTAACCACTGGAAGAGCTTGGAAAACTCGCAGACATCTTGGCCAGCATGGTCAATAGCCATGCCAGTTGGAAAACTGTGAGACTAACAGTCAAAAAAAAATATTTTCCAAGCTCATTCTACTCAGCTTCAAACCAATTAAATGTATTTTTAATAAAGTATAATTAAGTTAGCTTTTATTCAACTCACCAGCTTTTTGCCTTTCTGTTTCTATTTCCATGTGAAAGGAACTACTTGTTCGGTTTAAACTGGGTTTTTTAAAAATATGCTTTTGAAGAATGTTTAAAATATTTAAAAGAAATTACATTGTTTACACTGATTTTAGTCTACATTTTGGCCAAAATCCAATTGTTAGTTCAGATCAAAAAACACCCACAAATCAATGAAATGCACACAAATTTTGATATTATGAATTTCAGTTGACTTAGTGCATCTGCTCAAGTGGTAACTAACAATTAGAATTAGGTCCTTATGGCATAGTATGGGGAATTAATTAATTAATTAATTAATAAGCCTGGAACTTTTGACCTTACGAAGACATACTTCCCCCAATCTAAACTATTATATTTATCATTTGTGGTTTTGGTGAAGTTTAGTTCAGAATTTTGAACGCCACTCCCTAAACTACAAATCTTGGGATTCCACAGGATGAAATCATGGTAATGAATATAGAACCATAGTTATAATTATGTGGTGCAAAACAGTCTTAGGAGTCTAGGAGACTGGGATTGGAATTGCCACTCAACCATGAAAACCCACCAGGAAACTTTGGACACTCCCACCCTAAGAAGAAGGTAGTGACAAATTTCCTTTGAATAAATCTTATGAAAACCCTATGATAGGGTTATTGTAAGTCACAGTCAAGTTGGAGTCACGTATCAAGAACAGAAACAGTAAATATTAGATAAGGACAAGATCCATTTGTTTTATACCTTCTATATGATCATTGACTTGACAGCTCAGCAGCCATTCCCCATCATTCTCTGGCACCATGAGGGCATCTATAAAGGTTGCCGGAAAGAGACTGATTGTGTCAACTCGATGTTTTCTTTCTATCAAGGTTTGCCCATGGAAATAAGCTGAATGAATGTCAGCTTCATTACCAACACCAAAAAGGTACCATTTCACCTTATCTTGTGTACACATCGTGAGATTGGGAAGATATCCATACATGTATCCATTGATTGCTTTTAAAAGGATAGATGAAAACATAGTAGTTATAGACATTTGAAAACATTTGACATCAGATATCATGAGGAACACTCAGCAAAACTTGGCATTGACATTTGGAACTGAGTCCTTTTCAGATAGCATACTATAAATCTAAATCTAGATTCTATTTTATTAATGTTGGGAATACTCAGATTTACTCAGAAATCTTAAGGCTTTTCCCCTTTGGCATTCATATTCTTTGGTCCCATTCAATCACTAGTTAAATGCCAAAAAATCCAAAATTTGTACCTGATTAGTTTTAAGAAACTACATCAAAGATAACAATCATGCAGGCCTGTATAAGGGTTTAAATGCATAATGGCCCAAATACTAAGCAGAAAGTTTGTGAGGCAATGCAACAAAGTCCACTAGAGCAAAATTAAAAACCATCATATTCAGGCATAATATATCCCCAGATTAATAATTGCTATATGGAAATGACTGCATTTCCCCTGCATCACAAATTTATGTGAAAGTTGTGTGAAACACTTTGCCTGCATATATGCAAACTATAATACATAAAACAATCCATTCTGCAAGTTGTCCTTACAGTGCATTTTGTTGCTTTCTTGGAAGTCCTCATTCTCTTTGTCAACTTTGTCAGGTTCAGAGCAGTATTTCTTGATATTTTCATCCAAGTACCAACTGAAATTCTCATCCATCACAGAGAACATCAAAATAAATTCTTGGTCCACATCTTTATCTTTTCCATCCTGCAGTGTACCTAGGAAGAGTGTACAGTTCAAACACTTCTCATTTTCTAATTAACGGTTACTATGAGAATGTCCGTAATTAAACTGGAGAACTGATGCATGTGGTTCCAAGACAAAATCCTAAGAAACAGTATAGAGAAAGTCAGATACATAATGAATACCTGGAGTAAATCTGTTCATTTTGTTTAGGTAACTAATTGTCTGCCATGATGAACTGCTTTTGTTTTTAATCCTTATGTATGAATGGCACCATTCATTCAGATAAGAGAAATCAAGGAGGCCACTTGATTTTTTTTAATGTATTGAAAATATATAATATGCTATCCTTCTGTTTGTTTAAGTTTTAGGCATATTTACTGCATGACCCCAGTATCCACAGGACCAGTAGCTGGTTTCACCTACCCACATCAGACAAAATAAGTCATCTTTAGACATTTTCTAGATCCTTCTGCCAGAAATTAATATAGATTCACATGGGCAAATTTCTAGAAAGGATAGCTAGGAATTTTGTATATTCTCCAGCATGATTTTATGGTAACTTCTGGTAGAAGTTATTTATTTCAATATTGTTCACTATTACCCACAGTTTCCTGTTTCCATGGGAAGTTCAGGAATGTATTTCCCATGATACAGAGGTTGTACCGCACAGGGAAAAGAACAAAGAAAAAAGTAGGAAGGAGTTAATTGTGGTAAGAACAGTAGATCTCCTAAAAAATATCACAACATTCTGAGAACAAGCTAGCACATCGGTCCAGCCAGTGGAATGGGGAGCACTTTGTTTCTTATTAGTTGGGATCAAAATGACAACAGCCATCAGTCACCTTCTATTGTCATATCCTTTACCTTTCTTGCAAGTGATCAAGGGTCCAATAAGCCCAGAAGCAATATCCTTTGGGGCATCTATGTGGGAATGATAAATCCTGGTGACACAGTTATTATCACCTTCTGCTGGGCCGTGATCTTCCGTGACCTCCCAAGTGTAAACATACTGTTCTCCTGGTTGCACAATATCATCTTTCTTTAGTAAACCTGAAGTCATGTCAGGATAAAGTGCACCTACAAAATGCAATAAATCAGTCAAACAATGCAGATTATATTATTATATCATGATTCATTTTGCTTTCACTCCTCGTGTATTTGCTGCTTTTAAAATTTGTCTTACTGTGATTGTGATTTCATATGCATTTTACATAGTAGCTGATAAACTGAATAAACAAAGAAGTGTGTGTGTGTGTGTCTGACAGAAGGTGAGAACATATCTATAATATATTTGTGAATGCAATAAGGTGTCTAGACACCATTTATATTAGTATATTCAAGAGAGAGCTATTAATTCAATTAACAAAAGGTGAATTCTACCTTCATTTTCTTTTGTGTATTTGACTCCATGAGGATGAAGAGTGTAGGCTCTTGTAGCAAAATTTTTCAGGTGAACAGTAAAGCTGTCTCCAACTTCTGCTTTGAGAACAGGTCCTAGAAGGCCCAACCAGGAAGGCTTTTCGACAGCAGTTTTGTAAGAGCCATCTGTGAATTGCACATAGACAGCTTTTTTGTATGTGCTTCCTATCCGGTCCGGGCCTTGTTGGACAAACACACTTGAATGCCTGAAAAAGCAGCCAACAGATAATCGTATCAGATAATCGTGTATTACTTCTACATATCTATACTGTAGGATCAATTCAATTTGACAGCACATTAACTGCTATGGCTCAATGCTATGGCATCCTGGGATTTGTAGTTTGGTGAGGTACCAGCACTCTTTAGTGACTTGAATGCACAGAACAAGGTAGATGGGAACAAAATATTTTCATACACAAATTGTGGAGTTTCAATATAATATCTCTATAGTTTGAAAATATAATTCAATATTGCTAGCTGGTTTTAAAAGTGTCTGAAAACAATGTGAAAAATAAAATGTACAGTGCACTTCTAGAAATCCCAGCTGTAATTGGCACAATTTCTTCCCCTGCTAAAGATGTCCCTCCCCCGAACCCCGCTTTTTCATTCTATAAATGAATCACCATTTTTTTCAGTATATTCATTTTATTATTTGGAACCTCTTTTCAAGATAACTTTCTTCAAAGCTGTCAATATTATGACAAATGTAGTGTTGCCAAAAGAAATGCATTCTTAAGTCCTTTGTGCATCTGATTCCACGTCCTTTTATTTAAATGCTCTTCACACTATATAAACCTTGTATTTTTGTTATAGTTTGTAAGACTTTGTGTTCGGTTGCCAAATTCTAATTTCTGAGAATTTAACTGTCATTGTATTGTCGGAGGCTTGTAACAGAAATCAGTAACAGTAACAGTAGCTAGAGGAGGAGCAGTAGGAAAATAAAGTACAGATTTACTGTCCCCACCACAATGGATCCTAACTGCCTCCTCTATCACAGTGGTGAGATTGCACTCAGAGTATGGGAAAAGCATATCATGTTGTTGACTCTACCTTGTTCACCAAGCTCCACCTTCTTCTTTGGCCCCTTCCACACAGCTGTATAAAATCCACGTTGAACTGGATTAACTGTCAGTGTGGTCTCAGATAATCCAATTCAAAACAGACACTGTGGATTATCTGCCTTGATATTCTGGGTTATATGGCTGTGTGGAAGGGTCCTTTATAATATTTTAATTGAAATGTATGAAATATAATAGGAAAAAGTGCAGAAGAAAGTGACTTCTGATCTTCCTTTGAGTGGTTTAAATATTGGACTATGATGTTGGAGAACAGGGTACAAATTTATTTATCCTGCCTTTCTCAATCCCAGACTCAAGGTGGCCTAGAGTCTGTCTAGAGTTGCAGATTACCATAAAAACCAATTGGTGACCTTGAGCAAATAGCACAAAAACCTATGACATAAGTTAGAAAGTGCCTGAAAGCACACAAGAACAACAATCCATATCTCTAACATGTACTTCAATGGCTTATTCTTTGTAATCATCAAAAGCAAAGGTTGCCAAATAATTTTCTTTCTTTACTGTCTGCAAAAAGAGATTTCCAGCCTTTAAGAAATATCACTAAGCTAAACTAAATATCACAACAAACTCATAGCCCTTCACAATTGGTCATCTATCACCATAATCTTACCAGGCAATCTTCAAAAGTTATCTCTTGTCCTTTGATAGGGTCAATTGTCTTTGTCCTTTCCTATGAGGCCCTAGTTCATAGATTATCCAGGGTCCCTTTCATACAACTGTTTTTGCACTGTGGTTCCACTTGAACTACTATGGCAACACCATTTGTAATCCTAGGATTTACCATTTGGCGAAGGGCATTTAATATTCTCATCCAGCAAGCTCTAGCAGTGGTTCTCAGCCTGTGGATCCCCAGATGTTTTGGCCTTCAACTCCCAGAAATCCTAACAACTGGTAAACTGGCTGGGATTTCTAAGAGTTGTAGGCCAAAATACCTGGGGACCCACAGGTTGAGAACCACTGCTAGTGCTTCATCAGGGTATCGACCTCAGGATTTCAGAGAACATTGTAATGATAGTTAAATCATAGCACCAAAACCATGTACAGTAATGTGAAAGGGCCCCAAGTCTTACTGTGCAGCTCTCAGACTCTGCTTCATCTAAGGCAGGGGTCCTCAAACTTTTTAAACAGAGGGTCAGGTCACAGTCCCTCAAACTGTTGGAGGGCCGGATTATAATTTGAAAAAAACATGAATGAATTCCTATGCACACTGCACATACCTTATTTGTAGTGCAAAAAACACGTAAAAACAATACAATAATTAAAATGAAGAGCAATTTTAACAAATCTAAACTTATTAGTATTTCAATGGGAAGTGTGGGCCTACTTTTGGCTGATGAGATAGGATGGTTATTGTTGTTGTGTGCTTTCAAGTCGTTTCAGACTCAGGTTGATTCTGAGCGAGGGCCGGGTAAATGACCTTGGAGGGCCGCATCCGGCCCCCGGGCCTTAGTTTGAGGACCCCTGATCTAACGGAAGGAATCTCTAGAAGCCTAGCAATGCTATCCAGATCTCATTTTCTATAGTTAGCCACTAAGCTGTTTCTAAGCAATAATGAGTTAGAAACACTGTATAATTTCCAAGAGAGACCAGTGTTGTTGAAAAGGGGTCGGTTGAGTCTCTTTTCATGAAGCTCTGAGAATTAAACTAAAGGTGCATATTGTGTCTCTTCTTAGACTGTCCAAATAATTCATATTTAATTATAAGGTTTCCTGTTGGCAAAGGCATTGTGTCCTTTTCCTTCTCTTTCCCTGAAAGGATAATAGCTTTCATTAAAAAACAAAAACTCTGCCTCATAGTTAAAATTCCCAAGGGCTAAAGGGTTTAACTGGAGGTTAAAAGTGAAACATCAAGCCTTGTCCAGTTTAAGTTATTTTTAACCAAGATGAAATTTGACCCTATGCCTCTGTGATTTCTCAAACAGCTAATAAGAGGAGCAAGCACACAAGAGCAGCGAAGGTCTGTCGTATGTCTCGACAGTATCACCCACCCCTGGGCTAACCTTTTCCCTCTTCAGATGTCTCCGTGTGTGTATTTTTATTGCTAGAGTTTGTGTTTTTAAATTCTTTGGCTTTCTTTTCCTTGCTTGCCCAATAGCTTTCTGCAAATAAAGTAAAATTGATGCCTATGGTGGCTGGGAAGAATAAACAAATAACCATAAGGTCAGAGTTTGTTCTGTTGATTTTGAATACTAAAGCAACCATTGTCATTGTGTGTTACTGTTGCCCAAGGTCACCTTAAAGTGAGACATGAGGAACTGTACCAGAACTCATTTTTCTCTGTGACAATCTTTTGCTTTCCATTGCTTTTCAACACATCCCAGCAAAGAGCACGGCTCTCCATTTTGACATCTTTCTTAGGTGTATCCACATAATCTTATTTCTTGGATGATCATTGCTAATCTTCAGGATGGTTTGGGATTTAAATTAGGTGTTACAAACAAGGAGTTACTTGTAATTAATTTGGAGTTCGAAAATATCATATTATGTAGAAATTTATTGGCAGTAAGTTCCTATTTCTAATAACAACAGTACAGCCATGTTACTTTATAACTGTTACTTGACAAGATACTATGTCACTGTGCAACTGTAACTTTAAATTACTTCAGTAGTTATGGGTTGTGTTTTCACACCATATGAATACAGAAGACTATCAGACAGTTCCAGTGCTCATACTGCACTTATGCTGTTGCATGCAAATATTTTAATTAATTTAAAAAGAATTTTAAAAAGTAACTTTTGAAGAATGGAAAAGTGAAGAGCTGTTTTATAAATTTAACATATAAATGGCAACTGACTGCAATAGTGCATTGAAACTACATAGTAGTCAAAGCAATAGTTCTATTTGTTTCAGCAGGAAAAGAAAGGAGAAGGAAATCAAGTAGCTACAAGACTTACTAATTTTATCATTATTCGTGCAACCAGAAACCTTTCCTCTTCCTGAGCTTCACTGATCTCACCTTTATCATCTGGACACATGGAATTCACTGAGGTGCTCTACCAGAATGTCAACATCTTGCTCCCTACCATCTATTTAAGCCTGGAGCAATCAAGGGACCAATTCATAACTATAACAAACATTTTTTTCTTCCCCAATCCCCTCCTCCTTCTTCGATGATACAGCAGAGATTTATAGAACTCTAATTTACTAACCAGAGCTCCACAACCACCCTCCCCCGCTTTCTATTTTTATCTACTAACTTATCATCACCACACATATTTTACTTATCTCATTTCTACAAAAATCATCCATTTGTTTGCCATTGCACAATTTATATACAGCAAAGTACCCTTACTTAGGCATTGTGAATGCTCGGTAATAAAAATATATATAATTATTTACCCCTCTGTCTGTTGTCCTTACAGTAATGATGCCAATAGTGAAAGGACCAAGGCAGTGACATCTCCAGTTCATCCCTTGTTTGGGTATCAGCCAGCTCATCAATGACTTAAATCAAGACATAGTTTTCTAAGATCTACAGAGACACTAAGGGTGCATCTACACCAATTTACACCATGTTACAGAGTCATGGGAGATGTAGTTTTACAAGGTTGTTAGCTTTCTATGAGGGGGCTAGAATAGATAGATGTCTTTGGGAGAGGCAATTTGGGGCTAATAGGCAAGAAGAAGAAAATTAAAAGGGGAGAGATAACAACTGCTGCCAGTGAGAGGACTTGAAAGGAAAGGTCCCATAAGGCTGAAATCCCTTTTCTTGAGACTAGTACAAAACAGCTTGATATACAACTGACACTAACAAGTTAGAAAAAGGCAAAAAGTAGGTAAAAGGTCTTAATTTATATAGAATGTTTCATGCCTTCTTTTGAATAATGGGATTCAAATATTTTTCCTTACTGTAGCACTTTTTGATACACATGCACATGTCTGTTATACTTGCAAGAAGTATGACATTTGTTCTGTCATAGCTTATTATGTTAATAGATATTCTGACAATATATATTCGCTGTTTAAACTATGATATTTTTCCAGTCTGGATTTGGAGAATTAGCTCCCTCTTCCCCCCAGCTTGGTCCATTGCTGCAAAATGAACAATACAGTTATTAGCTAATGGAGTGACTTCCTTTTGGTTTTGTCGTTTTTATGAGCATCTCAATTGGGTTATATCAGTGGTTCTCAATCTTTGTTTTGGCCTACAACTCCCAGAAATCCTAACAGCTGGTAAACTGGCTGGGATTTCTGGGAGTTGTAGGCCAAAACACCCGGGGACCTACAAGTTGAGAACCACTGGGTTATATCAAAAGCACTTGAAATCAGAGGGAGCTAGGTACAGGCATGTAGCCGGGGGGTGGGGGGCTTGGGGGGCTTGAGGGGCTCAGCCCCCCCCCCCCGAAATTCTCATGGTGGTTCGCGAAAAGGCCTTACTGGTGCATTATTTAAACTGTTATGTTTATTCATATCATGATCTGATCACCATACTCAATATATCCCATATGCATGGGGGTATTGGGGTAACGATACAAAAGGTTTGCTAGGGGAGACCCTCTTTCACTCAGACTCACCCCCCCCCCCCCCCGAATCGAAATCCTGGCTACGGGCCTGGCTGGGTATATTTAGCATGGAGACCACATTAACTGCCATGACTCTATGCAATGGAATTCTGGTATTTGTAGTTTTGTGGGGCTATTTACTTTTCTCTGTCAGAGAGCTTTGGTGTCACAATAAACTACAAATCCCAGGATTCTATAGGATGCAGCTGTGGCAGTTTAAGTGCCAGGTTACTATAATTCTGCAGTGCAGATCCTCTCAACTAAAAGAATATCATATAGAAAATGCAGTAAGCTTGTTTTCTCCTAGTCCAGAGATTACAACACGAATCAATGAATTCAAGTTACAAGAAAAGAGATTCTACCAAAATATTAAAAAGATTTATTATTATTATTATTATTATTTTGCTATCAGAGTGCTTGAACAGTGAATTCACATCCTTAGGAGTTTTGATGGGCATCTTTCTGGGGTGCTTTAGTTGTGAATTCCGGAATGCCACGGAATAGACAGTTTTTGGATTCCCCTTCAATTTTAAAGATTTTGTGATCCTTTAATGTTCTGCTCAAGCGCTCACTAAGAAATAATGGGTGCATCTACGTTGCAGAATTAATGCAATTTGCCACCATTTTAATTGCCATGGCTCAATGTTATGGAATCCTAGGAGTTATAGTTTTGCAAGATCTTTCTCCTTCTCTAACAAAGCCATGGCAATTAAAGTGGTATCCAAGTAAATTGATTCTACAATGTAGATGAAGCCAGTATGTTTAAATAAATTAAATAACCCCCGCTGCTCTACACTTATTCCCTATCATCTCAAGTCACAAAATATCTATATGATTTTTATAAGTCCTGCAGATATAGCCTGCATCATATTTACTCATGCTGGAATATAGATTACTTGAAGTCCCATTAAAATACCGTAGTTCACACTATAATGTTAATATTCATTTTTAATACTAAAGCAACAAGTACAAGACTGGCATCACTTACTCTTCTTCTGAAAATAACTTCCCGGAAATCTTGTCCTTTGTTCCTGGTGCATAATTCCAATCGGTTTCTACAATTCCAAGGTAGTATTCTTTATTTACTGCCCAGATGTCTGTGAAGAAACAAGCCAGTAAAAGGCTCAGAACCACCAGCTTCATTTTCTGTCCTGTATCTTTTCTCTGGTTTAACACAAGAATGTGCCCATTTTATAAGATCTGGGTTTCTCTCTGTGCTTTCCTTTCCTTTGATTCGCTTGGTTCAATGAGCTGAAAGCTTGCACAATTCTTGCTAAAATAAACACAGCCAAATCTCATTCCGGCAAATCAGGCGGCTCACAGATTATTGTGTTTCAGGGTTTATTCGTTTTGCTTTTTCAAACAGCATGTCTTTCCTCTTTTTTTCTCAGTGTTTGGGAAAGTTTCCCAGTCAAGTTTTAAAGGATTAAACTGGTTTGCTGAAAACTGTGGGATTCCCCAATGGTAAGGCAATGGGTCATGTTGTTCCTTCCAACTGGCACAAGTAACAAATCCTGCATTTTGCAACATGCAGTTTGGATGTTAAATTTTGCTTTCAGGTTAGAAAGTAAAATACAGGAGAAAAAAAAACACCTCTGATATGGAGGTGCAGACTGAAAGGTCACAGGTTTGAATCCAGGGAGTGGCATGAGCTGCCGCTGTTACCCCAGCTTCTGCCAACTTAGCCCTTTGAAAACATGCAAATGTGAGTAGATCAATAGCGGGAAGGTAATGGCTCTCCATGCAGTCATGTCAGCCACATGACCTTGGAGGTGTCTACGGACAACGCTGGCTCTTCGGCTTAGAAATGGAGATGAGCACCAGCCCCCAGGGTTGGACATGACTGGACTAAATGTCAGGGGAAAATCCTTACCTTTACCAGATATGGAGCAATACAAAGTTTAGATAGCCTGGAAAGGGAACAAAAATAAGACCCACCAAAATAGCTAACTTCAGATTTTGTATTTTCTTTTCAATTTTCAACCTATGCAGCATTTAAAAAATTACAACATTATTTTTAAAAATGTGCAAAGATAAGCTAAGACCAAATGCACGTTACAAAGAAGGACAAAATTTAACATAAAATATGGACATTCAGAGTGCATCTGAACTCACTAAAAATCCTAGATTTTATCTTTTAAATTTTATACTGAGTAAAAATAAACCGACCTGATAAATGGTAGAAACTAGAAGCTGATAGAAAATATTCCAGGATAAACATGTCTGGCTCTCCAAAATAAAATTGGAAGAAAACAGGAACAGAATTTGGGCTTTCTGGATCTTTTAATGAATCTGAACATGTTCTCAGTGAGAATATGTAGCATAATTTCTTCAAAAAACATAACAGTGAGCGAAGATCTGGAGTGCTTGGTGGATGACATACTGTAGCAGCACTTGTATTTGTAATATATTTGATATTGCTTAGGTTTTGTCTTCCAAGCATGATTTCAGAACTGTGATGTGTAGATTTCTATACAATTTGCAAAATGTAATTTTGAACAATCCTAAAATTTAATTTAAAAGCATGCCACTGTCGAGTCATAAAACCATCTGCCACTACACTCTGTGGGTTTCACCTGACTGGCAAAGAGTCCATGGAACAAAAAAGGTTAAGAACCCCTGCTTTAACCCTTGTAGAAGCTCAGATATGAAGCCAAATGTGAAGTCTTCTGTTCAATTGTTCTTCAAGAACCAATTGGTCCCAGGTTTTCAGACGTGAAATAAGGCAGAGAGGGGAGTAGAATTAAAGAGCTAGTTTCATTTCTAGAAATCACCCCAAATTAATTTAAGTCAGGATCCAAGCCAATGTTCTAATCCCAATTGTTAGTCCCTACTAGAGCATAACCATCAAGTCAGTGGAATTCATATAATTAAGCCATTGGATATGCTATAATTGTGACTAACAATTAGATCATGCCAGTTCTCAGATATTTAAAGACAATTATGTACAATCCAAAAATGATGCTAGCCATGAATCCAATGCTCTACCATAAAATTAATTAAAACTGTAGTTCATTCCTAAAAGAAAACCTAAAAAAACAACTGGTTGCAGTGCTTTAAATAATCTATTTAAATTATCTTGCAGAACATCCAAAACTTGTTGCCATTTATTCAAAAGGTACATTTTTGTTTTAGAAATGGCAATAACACAATATACAGTAATTGGCCTAGTTTAAACTTTCCTAAAAATACATTTACAACCATTTTAATATGCATTTCCTGCAACATAATAACACAAGCTTTTTCCTTTGTGTAATCTGCTCAGTATTTGCACTTAACTTCCATTTTTGTTTTCTGAAATTTAATTAATAAAATCCATCATTATTAGAGTTGAAGAATTGTAAAGACACAACTCACTGACATTTGTTTCGGTGGATTTATTTAAACCAGGAATTAAATAACAGGATTCAGGCATTTATTTTAGTCTTTGGAATGGCTAGTATATTTCTCTTGTCTTTATGTTTAAAAGAGACTTAGTTTTCTTCCATTATCTCATTTATTTTATTTTCTATATAATTCTTTAGCAACGTCATTCCTTTATTGTCCTATCCATCCTGTTTACCTTTGATTAACAATAACTTTTACAGTGAGAATGAAATTATGAATGTATACTTATTATACATTCATGTAAATATAGATTTCCTTAATTTTGAAATCACAACCTTTCATCAGTGTGTTGAGTGATTTCATCTACCACTAAATCAATGGTCTCTGAACCCAGTGTGTTATGCAGTCAGAAGGTTGAATGACATACAAACAGGTGTGAAGACAAAAGCAGTCTTTCATCTCAATGGCAAAAGCAGAGTCTTTCATCTCAATGGCTCAAAGTACTGACATAAAGCATTAGGAAATACCAAAATATTTGTTTACTTTGACAGCTATTCAGACTTCCCATGTTAACCTCTGATTGGCTGAAACCTAACCCAGTTGGATCCAGGCTCCCATTGGTTGGAAGCTCCATGAAGCAGCTTCCATGGTTGATCTCCCTCATGGAGAGAAATTCAAGGAGCTGCCATTTGTCAGTTTGAAGCCTGGATTCATTGAGAGATCTGCCTCCGGAGAGGAATGTGAGAACCAGGAATGTGATGGGACAATGTGCAAAGGAGTCTGTGATTGACTCAATGGCCCGATCCACGTAAACACAAAGGGAAAGTCCAATAAAAGGCAATGAATATTTGCAGGTGATCAACAGTTCAATGAACTTAGCTTCGCCCACAACTGCACTGATTCCCAGCAGTGGATAGTTCAGATGGCATGAACAAAAGCCAGGAAACCTCTCAATGATAGCAGGGAGTTTCTCAATGAAATAGGTGTTTATCAATGGAAACAGTTTTAATTCATAACTACAGGAGAAATTTTTATCAATGGGAGGGGGGGTGCTCCTGGAATGTATACATTAAGTGGCTGAAGATAAGTCAGACCAAGTACACATGTCGAGTTAGGTAGCCTTCCAAAAGTGATTTAACACTTGACCTATGGCAACCCGAAAGCAGCCTTATCCCTGGGTTTTCTTTGTAGGATTTGTTCAGGAGTCTGTGCCATTGGCTTCCTGTGAGGCTGAGAGAGAGTGACTGGCCCAAGGCTACCCATGAGATTTCCATGGCTAAGCAGGGGTTCAAACATTGGAGATGCAACCTGCTTGGCCTTATCGGAATTGAAGGCAGTTTGCTAGCATTGGAAGACTGCCTGTTAATAATCATATATTGTTCATTATTTAGGGGTTCCATTTTCTCGATAAAAAGTGGTGTAATGAAGCCAAGGTTTGTGTGATCAAAGACCCGGGTCTTATTGATTAGGAAGGACTAGAGCAGGTGTCCTCAAACTTTTTAAACAGAGGGTCAGGTCACTGTCCTTCAAACTGTTGGAGGGCCAGATTATAATTTGAAAAAAACATGAATGAATTCCTATGCACGCTGCACATATTATTTTTGTGGTGCAAAACAAAGTTTAAAACAATACAATAGTTAAAATGAAGAACAATTTTAACAAATATATATGTATTAGTATTTCAATGGGAAGTGTGGGCCTGCTTTCGGCTGATGAGATAGGATTGTTGTTGTTGTGTGCTTTCAAGTCGTTTCAGACTTAGGTTGACTCTGAGCGAGGGCTGGGTAAAAGACATTGGAGGGCCATATCTGGCCCTGGGACTTAGTTTGATGACCCCTAGACTAGGGCATTGACTGCCACCCCTCTTGGGCTCTCTTGTTCCATTTCAATTCAGCTATAATTCCAAATGTTGATTGGAGGGCAAACCACTTTTCCTAGCAATAATATATTGCTATGAACTAACATATTACTATAATGCAAAATATTTGTGGTAGCTTTATAAAAGGCTTATTCCTGGCAGAGATGAATATTCCCAGAAATTGTTGTAGACCAACACAGCGACCCACATTTTTGGACGTTCCATGGCATTGTTGCTGTTCAAATGGCCTGCAGTTCATGTTTTAATGTTATACAATTCATGCTTCTAAAGCTCACATTGAATGTCTTACGTTTTGCAAAAGGCCCTTCAAATCTACTTTACCTGATTAACTGTACTTGTAGAAATGAGTCTCTATTCTGTGTTTGCTCAAGCTTGATCCTGAATAGAGGACCCTGTTCTCTACCTTGCTTTGCTGCAACCTCTCCCTTCCACCTCCCGCTATAGCCCAATACAAAAGAGCCATTCAAGCCAGTGCAACCTGGACAGTGCCTGATGGCGTTTTTGTTCTAGGCAGAAGCAGAAAATGATCTTGTGCAATCAAGTAACTTTTTAATGCTCACAAAAAACGGATAGCTAAACTGAAAGCTCTTGAGTTCTAATTTTGCAACTAATAAGTCACTCATATACACCACAACTTTATGTGGCCACTTACAAACTCATGATATGGTGGTGGTGAAGACAGACTACCACGAGTTAAAGGAAAAATGAAGAGACGCTCTATATTTGTAGCAGAGCTGCGTCTCTTTTTTAAACTACAGTGAGCCCTTCACATTCACTGGGATTAGTGGCACAAGAGCCTCACAAAAGTAGACAAACGATGAATTAAAAATGCTGGTGTGAGAGAATTGGCCGTCTGCAGAGACCTTGCCCAGGGGACCCCTGGATGTATTACCATCCAGTGGGAGGCTTCTCTCATGTCCCTGCATGGGAAGCTGGAGCTGACAGATGGGAGCTCACCCCATTTGCGGATTTGAATCGTGAACCTTCAGGTCAGCAGTTGAGACGTCAGTGTTTAACTCATTGCACCACTGTGGCCCTGCTCCAGACAGTGAAGGTAGAGGTCCTCTTGTATTTACCAATGTAGAAGAAATCCTAATCTGGAGTTACATTTAATATTTTAACACAGTGATGCATTTCATCATTTGACTCCTGATGCAGTCTGGAATGTGATGTCCCAGAAAGGTTTATGATCTCAAAAAATGAGGCCTGTTTGCAACTATCCACAGTTGTATGATCAAATATTTATTCAAGGCGCATCAACAATATACCATATGCTTTAAAATATGCATATATAAAAACCTCCTGCAGTGCGGGGTTCACAGTTGAAATATATAGGACACCTAAGGGAGAAGGAGAAGGATTGGGAACAATAAGAGAATGTGGATATTCCAGAAACTGTTAACTTTCTAAGAATTTTGTTAAGCTTTTAAATTTACATATGGGGAAAAAAACTATAGGAATCCTTCCTTACATCACAGTGTGTGTGTGCACGTGCATGCAAAATCACATAGAGATATCAAGCATGTTGGCATCTGTGAGTGAAGATCCAAAGAAGAACTTTATTGTGCAATTGCTTTACCCCAAATTTCCCAGGGGTCCCAACTTGTAACTTTTCTGTTTTCTCATCCCATTGTTTCTTCTGTCTCCTCTCAGAAGAAAATCAAGCATGAATTAAATGATCTTCTGTTTCATTTTTAACTGTCAATAATGGAAAGAAGTGATCTGCTGTTTCTATATCCATGTCCAATGCCTATGTTTCTTTGATTTTCATAATGTATTAGCTCCAAGATTTGGATCACCCTTTTCTCTTCCTGAATATTATGAGATTGTCAAATCTTTGCAGGCTGTGAAACAGAAAAGAAAGAGGACAAATTTTAACGTATATAGACTGTGACTCATTAATCAGAATTTGGATTCGTTGCTTATATATACGAATTATAGCATTTCATTATGTTTCATTCCTGTGCATAGAGAATAAGCACCCCCACTGTTGTTGGTGATGGTGCCTTCAAATCATTTTTGACTTATGGCAACTCTAAAGCAACCTTATCCCTGGGTTTTCTTTGTGGGGTTTGTTCAGGAGTCTGTGCCATTGGCTTCCTGTGAGGCTGAGAGAGAGTGACTGGCCCAAGGCCACCCACATGGTTTCCGTGGCTAAGCAGGGGTCCAAACACTGGTCCTATTCAAAGCACTACACTATGCTGGTTCCATCTTTTTTTTTAAAGAAATGGCTGTTGTATATGTATGTTGCCCTATACATTTTCTGTATATAAAACTAACATTAGTCCTACCTAGAATAGATACATTGAGATTGAATTAGATTTAACTAGTTATGACTAACAAATCCCATCCATTCCAGTATAGGATTTAAACCAAAATACTATGAGGATTATTGTAGCAGGAAGCAAGGCAAGGCAAGGCATTCTGTTCTACTCAGCAATTTTAGACCTGGAGATTGGCTGTTGTGTCACCAAGTTGTAGTATGCATTGTGTGGTAGTCAAAGTATATGTCTGGCCTACATCCTTTGGAATACTGGTATTTGTAATTTTGGGAGGCCCTTAGCTTCCCTACTAAAGAGCTTAAGTTTGTTTTCCTAATTTCCATAAGAGGGAGCCATGACAGTTAAAATGGTATCCAACCATCATTAGGGTAATTACCCTTGGTTAGTACTTGGATACTGAGCCATGATGGTGCAATGGGTAAAACCCTTGTGCTGGTTGAACTGTTGAACTGAAGGTCGGTGGTTCGAATCCATGAGACAGGGTGAGCTCCCATCTGTCAGCTCCAGATTCCCATGCAGGGACATGAGAGAAGCCTCCCACAGGATGCTAACACGTTTGGACGTCCCCTGGGCAACGTCCTTGCAGACGGCCAATTCTCTCACCCCAGAAGCGACTTGTCTTGGGTCTCTTCTGATACAATAAAAAAGTACTTGGGTGGGAGGCCAGCAATAAATGCCAGGCGATTTTGGCCATTGCTTCTTAAACCATGAGTCCTAGCCCCAAATGGGGTCTCTTTCGCTCATTGTTGGGGTCCTGAAAAATTTGGAAACAGCCAAAGTTTTCTGAATGTCACCTAGTGGCTATTTTAAACATTTACACGAATCTGTTGTGCAGCGTTTGCATTTTATGCCTATTGTATTTACCTATATATATATCCAGGTGTAGAGAAGTGTTTATTATAAAGGGTTTATTGTACTGTGTTTAAACTGTATTTATGTTTTACATGGGTGGCCATGGCCTAGCTGTGAGAGATAGGTTGCCATGGTGACAAGGCAGAAGAGAAGGTGGGCGGAGCTTAAGGAGAAAAAGGTTTGAAAGTAACAGTTAATAGTCAGTCAGGAGGATGAGACCCTGAGAAGAGGAGCGGAGTCAGTTAGGGCTCTGTGTGGTGAAGCAGTATAAATTCAGTTAGTTCTTAGCATTTGTGAATATTTCTTCAGCAAGGGAGCTGAAGGTGAAACCTTGTTAGATTGCTTGTGTTAAAAAGAATCTAACAAAGGGGGTTTTAGGGATCCCAGTAGTGAAAGACTGGAGATCGGTGGTTTGATCCGGTATAGGACAAACAGAGTGAATATTCACAACAGGGAACACTGAAATAATAAAGTACTTCACTGAAGAAGGAGTTTAAAGGATGGTAACATCAGAAGCCTGAATGTATCTCTACCAAGCCATATTGTAACCATCAAGCTTGTGCCAAGTTCAACATCTTAGTATTGCAACAATTACGCTCTGTTAACAATAAACTTGTTCTCTCTGTGTTATAAATCTGCCTCCTCCATTGATTTTACTTTTGGTGCAATCCACTCTACCAAAGTTGCCTCACAACGCAGATAGGGATAAACAGAGACTTCAATTCCAACGTCTCTATATATATAATGGTGGCGGTGTAATTAGGTCAGTTGGTATGCCTAGTTTAAAGTTAGCTTTCAAAATGATCCACTTACCTGTACAAAGACAGGATAGGTTCCACACAATATACTTTTTAGCTCAGCAATTACTTTCAGAAAACAGATCAGTATTTGGAGTCCACTAAGAGCTATCAGGATAGAAAAAAAAATGATGTTCCACTCTACTACGTAAGTAGGTTCAGAGCATTGAGACCAGAACGTTTGGTCCATGAGGTAGCTATAAGAGAAACAACAGCATAAAGGAATTGGAACAATATTGTTATCACAAAGGTGTCAAACTTAGCAGACAAGGAAAGGATCAAGAACTTTACTTTCCATTCTGAATTATCAGCACCACAATTATATCCCATCTTCTTAGCTTCTGCCCCAGTAAAGCTACAGTGCTTTTGTGTATTGTTGAAGGCTTTCACAGCCAGAATCACTGGGATGTTGTCTGGTTTCTGGACTATATGGTCATGTTCCAGCAGCATTTTCTGCTGATGTTTCACATGCAGCTAGAACATGGCCATACAGTCTGGAAACCACACAACATCCCAAAACTATTCCTGTAATAGGAGCAGGAAGGGTCAGGCATCTTTTTATTTGTTTGACTGTGTCTTTGGCCTCCTGAACCACCCCAGATGTCTGTCTATAATGTGTTTCCCCACTCTCTCTTCAAACATGTCTCCTGGGAGGAGATTTAATGCTCACCAGCAATGTTACCCTACTCATTACCATCCTGGAGGTACTTTCTGAAGAAGAGTGAGGAACATTTCCCCCACAATAGTTTTTCCACTGGTGATGAATGGTTTCCCTAGAATCAAGGATATCTTCACAGCAATTTTGCTTGAATCTCAAAACTTTATTCCCTACCACCACTTCACAAATAAATGTCATGGAGCATGGGAAACATGGGAAGATGTATATAAATGCAGGAACATTATATAGGCAAGGGTCTAAGAATCACCCTTCAGAATCACCCAGTTGATTCAGAATCAACCCAGTTGAGGAAGGAATGAAAAGGAATGAAAGGACGAGTAAGCAAGTCAAGGAAACAATGCTATGCTAGGATAAGACCTTCTTTCTACCTGCAATGATTTAGTGTTCCAAAAATAGAGGAGAAATGACTAGTAGAAATGAGCAGCTACACAAATGTAAGCTCATACTTGGCAAGGGATTTGACAGGGACAGTCATGGTTACATCTTCTGCCATCCCACTTTTTCAGTTGCTTTCAAAATGTTTCATTTTCTATCTTGTCCTCCCACTACCCTCCTTTGTTCTTGTGTTACTTCAGTTGCTGCAAACTGAATTCAAAGTACACAAGTAGGTTGAACTTAACACATCAGAGAGGAGAGGGGAGAATCTTCCCCTTCCCTGTGGACTCAGGCAAAAGCCACCTCTTCTAGCATGCCTGTTCTTCCTCATTAATTTGCTATCTTGACCATACTCCAATATAGCTTTCTCACATCAGTTCTAACATGTGAAATTTTGGAGAGCATGTGCGCTGCCATGTGTTTTACAAAGGTCAAGGCTAAATGGGGATTTGCCACATCATGTAAAGGCACATGAAGATGGAGTTTTAAGGCTTGGGGCAGTCTTAATATGTCTGTTGCTTTGAATTTGACACCAGGAAGTCAGGCTGTCACACAGAGCCATATTCTTCATGAAGATCAATGTAACAAGTTGTTTGTAGTGATAGTACTTGATCTTACCGGCCTGCAGTATCCTTGAAGGCATATTCCCAGCCAGCTGAAGTTCTGCAGTATGGCCCTTGAACTAAGCCCAGAGTAGATATTATCAGACTGTATCCAGAAAATGCAATCCCTAGCAGGGCAAGTACAACTGAAATGAAACGCTGTGTTAAAGAGAGCACAATGTTATATTTATAAGGATGCACATCATCCTCTTCTGTCAGAAGTATATATTTCCACAACATAAAAGCATATCCTTAGCCTAACCAAGCACTGGAAGTGACCAGTAAAATAGTCATAATATTTTGGAAAGTTGCAAATATGCCTTCAGTCCTGTATCAGGAGAAAGAATCAATGGTCTGAGTTAGGAATGTAGATTTCTGTAGGCTTTAAAGGGGATAAGCAAGATACAAGGAGACTGGGAGTTCATTACTGGCATGGAAATTGTGTAACTGTATAGTTGCTTTGCATTTGACACCAGGAAGTCAGGCTGTCACAGAGAGCCATGTTCTTCATGGGGATCAATGTAACAAGAAGAGTATATAGGGGAGGGCTGTGAGGTTGCTGTGGACATTGCCTTAGAGAACTAACAAATACAGTATAGAGAGAATCCACACATTATTATAGTACTATGACTCCACTGTGTCTGTCCTGGTCACATCCTATGGAATTTTACGTTTGTTGTCTGAAGAGGGCCTAGAACTCTCTGAGTGAGAATTCTGAATTGTTGTTGTTGAGTGTCTTCAGGGTTATTTCTGGCTTATGGGGATTCTAAGGTGAAATTATCATGGGGTCTTCCTGGCAAGATTTGTTCAAAGTGGGTTTTCCATTGCCTTCCTATGAGAGTGTGTGACTTGCCCAATCTATTTCCAGGGTGCTAATCCAACACCCAAATCACTACACCATGCTAGAGCCACATAGAATTCTACATATCCTTCCCAAAAGTGCAAATCCCATAATTTCATAGGAGAAAACAATGACAGTTAAAATATGCCGTGTGAAATATTCCTTCATTTCAAGCCACTATAGAGCCACAATACTAGGTGACATTGGTATTGTCACTGTCTCTGAAAATGATTTGCTTCATAAGGTTGTTGTGAGGATAAGGTAGGGTGAGAGATGGACATGTATACATGTCTCCTTGAGCTTGTAAAAAGAAAGGCAGGGTACAAATAAATACAGTGCCCCATCTGTATTAGCTGAACTTTAGTTCCAGAACCCTGCATGATACCAAAATCCATGGATTCTCAAGTCTCATTATATATAACAGTGTAGTAAAATGTGTCCCTTATATGAAATGAGAAAATCAATGTTTGCTGTTGGGGGTTTTTTTAATACTTAAAAGCACTGAATGATGGAATCAGTGGATGCAGAATCTGTGGATACAGAGATACAACTATAAAGCAAATTGTTTATTTAAGGCATAGATATAGACTATATGAGTATCATTTTGATGCTTCCTTCCTCAGACTGATTCACTTCCAAAGACTGTGAGTCATCCAGAGCTTTTTTGCATCATTCCCAAGCCAGCCAATTGTAATCCAAAAGACAGCTTTTCCAAGCTTTGAACTCACCCAATAGCCATGAAAGCCCCAAACAGGAAGGAGATGCCAAGGTATCTAGGTTGATAACATTTTAAAACAAAGGAATGGGGGAAAGGAAAGGTTAAGTGGTGTGTAGCTAGCAATTCCTGATTTTGTTTTCCTCTACACGCAGCAGAGAAGAGAGGCAAAAACAGAAACCAAACAGAAACAGCCGAGGCTACAGGAGTCAGAGAAGAGAGGTTTTGGAACAAGAGCATCAGTTAAGAAGTGACATACTCACCCTGTATGTTCTAGTGCAGCTCTCATTTTGGCAGCATTTATGAAAGGTGTCTTGATCCAGAATTATTAAAAGAACTGCCAACACAAGCATCTGGAACAGCAGGAATGGGTATCACTGAGTTTACTTTTGGTAAACTATTATTGTCTCCTGTCTGTCTCTGAATTTTTGGTCATTCTGATTGGATAATGCCATACGTATTGAAATTAACACTTTCAGCATGACTAGTTCAACTTCATGATGAGTGTAAATATTGGCTATATATGGTAACTACTTGTTCTTACTTGTCCACATCAGTGAAAATGCTGGAAAACAAAGGAATTATCTAAATTCACAAGATAGACTAGTCTGTTATGGAGTTAATCACTTGAGAGTTTTGGGAATTCAGATTGAGCCTCGCTTTTCGAGAATTTTGAATACCCCAAAATCCAAAACTGTCCATATGAGTGAATGAAATAGTGACCCCTTTGCTCTCTGGTGGATCAGTATACCCAAATTTTGTTTGATGCACAGAATGATTTAAACCATTTTGTATAAAAGTGCCTATTGGTCATATGTATAACATATATATGAAATATCAATCATGTTCAGACGGAGCCCATCTCCAAGCTATCTGATTAAGAGATACTGAATGATGGAATGTTTGCCATTTTTCACCTTTGGAAGCCACCCTGAGTCCCTTCAGGGAGAGAGGGCAGGTTAAAAATAAAGTTTATTATTATTCATTATTATATATGCATGCATTCTAAAATTTTAAAAATCTGAAATATGGAACATTTCTGGTCCTAAGCATTTTGGAAAAGGGATACTCAGCCCTTACTGCCTGTAATTAGCAAAATTACTCTTGGCTCTCTTCTGCATTGCAAGGCAAAATTAAAAAGTCAAGATGCAGTTATCAGAGCTGCAATTAATGAACCCCAGAAGACACACTTACCATTATTCCAGAGAAACAGATCCCTTCAAAATACCACACATAGTTGGTGAGGTTGTTACTGGAGGCATATAGAGATTTGCCATCAGGAAAATATAGCAGGATATTTATAACAATGCTCCAAAGCGCAAGAGGTATTAACAAGCAACTCAAACAGCCACCATACTGTTGCACGCCCATATCCAAAAGACAGAGAAAGTGCCTTTTTGTTCCTCCAAGTTATCCTACGTTACTTGCTTTCTTATTTCAATGAAGTCATTTTGCGTCCACAATAAATTGGTTTCATGGATATGGTTCTTGTCAAACAAGTCCAGTGCCTAGCAAGTGAAGACTTGCTGTTCAGAGAACAATAGGCAAATGCCACTATCCTGAAAAGGAAGGGGGCGGGTTCCTTTAAGGAACTTTGTTTCCTTAGACTCTAAAGTGAATTCTCCGCTTGCTCAGAGACCTCAAATTGTCTTCAGAAGACAGCATTTCTTTGAAATGAAAGCAAAACAACAGAGGAATGGGTTGTATGATTTGACTCTGCCTACTTTTTGCCTTTCTTACAATCAAGCATTTCATTCAGTTTGTGTTTCTTTTATAGGTGCTCATCCAAGCTTTGGTTCAGAGTTTGCACTTGTCCTGAAACCATGCCTAGTGGCTTAATGTGTGGTATCTGGATGGAATATAGCATATTGGAAGCCAGATCTAAATATCTCTTTGAATGGATGCACTCTGGCAAACACATAGCTGGAGGTAGTTCCAAGTTTTTAAACATCTGGAGTTCTTAGAGGTGATATTTGCATCCCATTGTCTTCCCCTTGATATGTCTTAGACTGGGGCTATCTGGGAGACAGCACCTTTTCAGAATGCCCTGAGTCTGTTCACACTCTATGAAGTGTGGCTTTTGCACCCTTTGTTGTTGTTGTTTATTTGTTCAGTCACTTCTGACTCTTCGTGACCTCATGGACCTGCCCATGCCAGAGCTCCCTGTCAGCCGTCACTACCCCCAGCTCCTTCAGAGTCAAGCCAGTCACTTCAAGGATACCACCCATCCACCTTGCCCTTGGTCAGCCCCTCTTCCTTTTTTCCTTTCTTTTCTCCCAGGATCATTGTCTTCTCTAAGCTTTCCTATCTTCTCATTATGTGGCCAAAGTACTTCATCTTTGCCTCTAATATCCTTCCCGTCAATGAACAGTTGGGCTTTATTTCCTGAAGTATGGACTGGATGGATCTTCTTGCGGTCCAAGGCACTCTCAATTTTCCTCCAGCACCACACTTCAAAGCGTCTATCTTCCTTCACTCAGCCTTCCTTTTGGTCCAGCTCTCACATCCATAGGTTACTACGGGGAATACCATTGCTTTGACTATGGGGATCTTCGTTGCCAGTGTGATGTCTCTACTCTTCACTATCTTATCGAGATTGGTCATTGCTCTCTTCCCAAGAAGTAAACGTCTTCTGATGTCCTGGCTGCAATCTGCGTCTGCAGTAATCTTTGCACCTAGAAATAAAAAGTCTGTACCTACCTCCATGTTTTCTCCCTCTATTTGCCAGTTATCAATCAGTCTTGTTGCCATAATCTTGGTTTTTGTTTTTGTTTTATGTTTAACTGCAACCCAGCTTTTGCACTTTCTTCTTTCACCTTGGTTATAAGGCGCCTCAGCTCCTCCTTGCTTTTGGCCATCAAAGTGGTATTATCCACATATCTAAGGTTGTAAATGTTTTTTCCACTGATTTTAACTCCAGCCTTGGATTCCTCACATCACATGATGTGTTCTACATACAAGCTGAATAGGTTGGGTGGGAGGATACAGCCCTGCCATACTCCTTTCCCAATCTTGAACCAGTCTGTTGTTCCATGGTCTGTTCTTACTGTTCCTACTTGGTCGTTGTACAGATTCCTCAGAAGACAGACAAGGTGATTTGGTATCCCCATACCACCAAGAACTTGCCACAATTTATTATGATCCACACAGTCAAAGACTTCTGACCCTAGAGCTTGGAAAATGTATTTTTGTGAACTAAAGCTTGCACTAACTTTTCCAGTACAATATTTTTTAATATGTGATGCCTCACATCCTACTCAGGGAAAAGTAATGAAGTGGCATGAAGAATTACTTTTATTTGGTACTGTGTGCATTACCTGATCAATCACGTTTTCTGATTTTAGGCTGCATATAGTTGTATATGGCTAGGTTGTGACAAGGCAATATATGACAAGGCAATATATAGAGGTCTTTGCTAGTGATGTCAATTTATGCTGGTCCTTTGAATGAGAAATCTCTTAGTCAGGCTTCCATCAACATTTCAGCTCAGGTCTTGCAGACTGTTTGTATCTATGCCAGTGGTTCCCACCTTTTTCTGACCATGGACCACTTGAACTGGCCAACATTAATACCAAAAGGGTTACGAATCAGTTGTTAGTCAACTTTAGTTTTGGTTATTTATTTATTTGCTGTATTTGTATACCGCCCTTCTCAGCCCTTAGGCTGGGATGCTGATTCAGAAAATTGCATTGGATAGACCACATCAGTTATAGTTTCTGATACAGAACATATGTAATCCAGTAGTTGCTGCCTGCTCGCCCATAGAAAACCATATTTAATAATCTAGAGCTCATGTGGTGGTAGTAATATTTTGTGGGTAGTCGGCCTCTCCCCCCCCCCCCCCCCATATCCCTGTTGCCTTGGCACTATAAGAGGTGTTTGTGAGACGAGTCGCTCTCATTGCCGCAGGATCTTGAGACAAGGATTAAATAATGGTGAGGCTGTGGGCCATAGAATCATAGAGTTGGAAGAGACCTTATGGGCCATCCAGTCCAACCCCCTGGCAAGAAGCAGGAATATTTTCGTTCTTGCAGACCACTGGTAGTCCATGGACCACAAGTTGGGAACCACCGATCTATGCACTTATAATGTAGTCTTCCTCTTTGCCCTAATGCTTTCCTGTCATACATTATTTACATTTCTAATGAGTCACGTCTTCTCATGATATGTCCAAAGTATGGCAGTTTCAATTCAAAATATATGTTTAAAATATACCATCCATTTGCAATGAGATTTTTCTTAGTCTGAAAAAAGAGGAAGTGAAATTTATTATCATTTCAGGAGACAGCACACTGTTTTTTCTGTGCTACTTTTCTGTGATTTCCAATTAAAGTGCCTTCAGCTAGAAATTATCATAAACTGCACATGCCAAGAGAGAAATATCTGTTCTCATTTTGCTGCTTATATAATAATATTAATATTAACATCAATAATAATTTATTTTTACCCTCCTTCTCTCCCCAAAGGGACTCAGGGTGGCTTCCAAACATAAGGTATAAAACTGGCAAATATTCAGTGCCAACTAATCAAGATTAATACATTTATACAATGTGTTTGACTAGTATTTGACAGAAATCCAGTAAAGAGAAATGCCAGTTACTCAACTATATCTGAGCGTTGCAATAAAGGTACAGCACATTCCTGTAAGTTACAATTTTTCTAGCGTCCTTTGCTTACCGAAAGGGGTGAGTCACCTACCACCTAACTGAAATCAGGTCTAATCAAACCTTAGCTGTTTGGATAATGTCAATTATCAATTAAATATTAAATCGCACTTAGATTAAGAAGGACCAAAAAGAACTGAACCGGAAGTGAAAACATCTCTAAGTGCAAATAAAGAATGCAAGAATAAAATGAATTGATTAATTATTCTGCTTGGAGTCCCTCTCTGGAAGAAAAATGATAGAAAAATGAAATGAATGATTCATTCATTCATTGATTTCATTTATGCCACTTTTCTTCCTGTGGGGGGCCCAGGCAGTTGTCCAAGAAGGTTAATTAAAAGCCTTAACAATTAAAAAAAACACACACATTAAACACCATATAAATATTTTTAACAATATGGAAAAGTTAAATAAAACTCATCCCAATAAGAAGCTTCATGGTTTACACATTAAACACCTGTTTAAACAAAAAGGAGAGCTGACAAGAGGCCATATGAGCCTCTTGCAGAAGGGAAAGCCTGGGATGGCAGCAAAAGAGAAAGCATTCCCCTGTAGATCTTGAACATCTGGCAGGTTCATACAGAGAGATGCAGTCTTTCAGTTAGGCTGGACCTATAACATACAGGGTTTTATAGGTTTTAACCAGCACTTTTATTTGTTATAAATCTTCCCACTAATTTTTTAAAGTGCAAACTCTAAAATGGGAACATAGGAAATTGTGTTTAATTAACTAAAACCTGTATTGCATACAACCTTTGTGATATCTCTGAAATACGCAATTGCTAATGCAACACATCTTGAGTCAGACCAGTGTCTTACTGGGTACAAGGCATGGAAATCTTTATGAAAGATTTCAGGAAAAAAACAGAAGAGACAACATGCAGCTCTTGGGAATCGTTTTATTGATTTTAATTCTTATCCTCATCCATTCCAAACCAGTTTTCTTTCCTCTGTCACTTATTTTCTTCATGTTTTTTCCTGCCACCCACTCTGCCTTTCTGGATTTTTCTTACAGTCTATGTTCAAACAAAATAAAGAAAAGTTAAATGTGTTGTTGAAGGCTTTCATGGTAGGAATCACTGGGTTGCTGTGAGTTTTCCAGGCTGTATGGCCATGTTCCAAAAGTATTTTCTCTTGACGTTTCACCCATATCTTGGCAGGCATCTTCAAAAGTTGTGAGGTCTGTTGGAAACTAGGCAAGTGATGTTTATCTATCTGTGAAATGTCCAGGATGGGAGAAAGAATGCTTGTCTGTTTGAGGCAAATATGATTTGCTAATTGCTAATCAAGGTGGCCAATTGTAACATTCACACTTGCTTTAAACAAACAATAGTTCTTTTTCCCACCCTGGAAATTCCACAGACAATGTGTACAGTTTTGGATGCTACATTTCAACATAGATTTTGCAGCATTGGGAAAGGGCTACAATAACTGAAATATTACAATGTTTCTACTGTTTACATTGAGAATACGCAAAGGGAGAAATGCTGGAGATGTATAAAATCATACATAATGTGGAGAAAGTAGATGGAGGAAGGCCTTTCATAATGCAAGAATCTAGGGTCATCTGGTGATTCTGAATGGTGTGATATTTGGAGCGATAAAATGATGTATTTTTTTAATTTAAGCATATTCAGACTGTGGCTTTTCCTACTGTTTTTGTAGTTGTGTGCCCTCAAGTCATTTCTGACATGGTGACCCTAAGAAGAACCAATTGCAGGATTTCCTAGGGCTGAGAGTGTGTAACTTGCACTGCGTCACCCAGCAAATGTCCATGGCAAAGTGTGGAATCAAACCCTGGTGTCCTAAATTGTAATCCAACACTCAATCCACTACACCATGCGGGCTCTAATTTCCTACCATACAAATGGCCATGGCTTTACAAGAGAATTAACAATATTATCAGTATATTATATAGCTAATGATGGCTATATGTTATCTCCAGAATCAAAAGCATTTATGTATCCTATACTAGTTGCTGGGTCACCACACGTATAAAGGTGCTTGTTTGCTCCTGGCAAGTTTAAGGGATTTCAATAGGCATCTGCTGGCCAATGAGTGAACAAAATATTCGACCAGGGGTCTTTTGTCTGACCCAGGAAGACACCTGGCAGCTCCTGCAGCTGTGAGGAAAATCAAATCTTCCTGATTTAAATAAAATTATATATGAAAATATACAATTAAAATTATCTGAAAAGCTATGGGAGACTGTATAATAATAATATGCTACCAGATTACTCATCGGCATCTCTACTGAGAGGTATATTCGACTTAAGTTCAACAGGGCTTACTCTCACATGAGTATAGAATTATGATATAAATTATTCACAAACCTCATGCATGAAGGACAATATGTAAGAAAATTTAAAGGGAAACTTGTAGAAGTACCTTATATAAAAACGCGGTTTCTACTATCTTTTAGAAATTGGTATTTAGGAACAATGTATGCAATATAAACGATGGCCTCTTAATAATTAACAGTTATAGATCACATAAAACAAATCATAAACATGACTTTGTCAAGTCAGCTCAAAAACATAGGCATAATTACAGTGCTGCATAAGATCGTTGTAACTCATTTTCAAGTCCTAGTAGTCTAGCAAGGGCATCTCTGTAAAAGAAAGCAAAAAAAAAAACACTTAATAAATAGAACTATAGGCTAATCAATTTGCTCAGTTTGCCTATTTCCAGATTTATTTCAATTCATCATATCCTGTTTTAGACAGAGCTTGATACAAAACAGTAACACAGCTCACAGAATCCTGAGCTGGTGACCAGTAGCCCCATTGACTGAAGGATCCCTTTTTTATTTCCTTTTAATATCAGTGATGCAATCAAAACATGCATAAACAGGAATAGGGAACTCCTCCATTTACAATTAATGATATTTCCCATTAGGCCTACTTTCCATCAGTGATTTGGGGAAAAAAGTTTGGGAAAGAATAGCATGGATCTGAATCCTATTTCACATCTCACAACTCTTATTTTATTGTTGCGTTCTCCTAGGTAGGAATACCTAGAACTTAACTGTAATTTGAATGTTATATAAATGTGCAGAATAGTAAAAAAAACAATAATCTGCTCAGTTACTGCTAAAATATGGCAGTATATGAAAACTTTCACAATTTTTACTTTAGAATTTACCCTTATGTGCCTCTGGAAAAGTAAGTACTAGTCATGGGCTCAGTATCTGTATCATTCATTTGATTTGTGTTTTTGTTCCATTCTGTTCATTTGGATGGCACAGAATGGGAAGCCCCCTCCTGGAACGAAAATAAACTCAATATGAAAGGCAGGCAGGAGTGGGTTCTGGCTCCAAGTCTGCTTTTTGGATCGATTGCCATGTGCGTAGACCCAAAGCACCCGGGCCTTCCAGTGCCTGCAGCTGAGCACTGAATAAGCAGTGCTGCTTACTTGGCACTTGGGTACAGACCCTTGCAAGCCCAGGCACTTTGGGCCTTTGCACCAAACCTGCCAGGGCCTGCACCTGAGTGCTGAGTAAGCAGTACTCCTTACTTGGTGCTCGTCTGTGGGCCCTGGCAGTCCCAGGTGCTTTGGGACTACGGTTTGGGCTGCGGACCAAGGCCACTGGCAGTCATTGGTCTTCAGCTCCAGCCTTCATCTCCCCAGATAAAGGTGAGGTAAGCCCCATCTAAAAGGGTGCACTGGGTAGGGGAGGCTGGATGGGACCTCCCCCCCCCAAAAAATGGGCCAAAAGAAAACAAATATCTGCCCTCCCAAAATATCTGGCACCCAAAAAGGTGTTTTGGGGTGCCAAAACACCTTTTGGGGTGTTTTGGCACCCAAAAGCCAAAAACAAATATCTGCCCTCCCAATTTCAGGAGGCTCATTAGAAACAGATCAAGGGCTCCAAAGAAAGCCGGGACACAAAACAAATCAAAGTTTATCCCGAATGCACATGACTAGTAATTATCACTGTATTCAATGGGACACACTGCCAAGTAAATGTCCATAGGATTGCAGCATGCACCATATCTTCTACTGCAGAGGTGGGAATCTATACTTTTCAATTGTTTTGATTTCTCTTGATTAATACTCCATTGTCCCACTATTTCTCAGTTTTTTTATTTCTTTTTGCACTTCCCCCTTTGCCCTTAGCTTACTTCAGTTGTGGCAAAATGAATTCAAATATATCAGGGGGAGAGAAGAAAGGAGGGAGCAGAATTTTGCTCTTCCAAGTAGACTCCAACTAGAAGCTACACGTCAACCTCTGAAGCTTTTTATCTGGCCCTTTAATCCTCCAGTTTCTCTGAGTCACACGTTTTCTGGCCAAAATAAGGAGTGGAATGCCTCTCTTGTAAGCCTTTAGAAGTGGCAGTTCAACTTTAAACAGGTTCTTACATTTAAAATAGCAAGTTTTCAAAGCCATGAATGGATTTCTGTGGTTCCCCCAGGGGGCAGGGGGCGCTTTTTAGCTGACTGTCTTCAACGGTAGAAAATTGCCCCTTGGACCTATCATAGTGGCCTATCTCTGGTCTAAAGGTTGACCAGTGAAATGTCTAGTAGAAAAATGCTTCTGTTAAAGCTATACATAGCAGGAAAATGTCCAGGTGAGATCATTTGAAAAGTGAAGAAAAATTACTTGATTGTAAATTAATGGCCGAATGGATAATTTCTCTCACGCATACAAGCTAATTTATGGTATTATGGTATCATGCAATATTAGGGAGGAGTACAGGCAAGCAGTTATGAAGTCAAAAAGCACAATTCAAATTGACACACCCTTAATCTAAATGAAATTAATATGAAATTAATTAATATGAATTCAGTTCCATTCTGGATAGTTTCTGAATACTTGTAATCATACTTACATCAAGGCTTTTAAATATGAACTCAGCTGTAATTCTTAGCTTTGTGGGTATTCCATGTGGACAAAATCTGTAATCTCCCAGCAGTGGCCATGCTGGCTTGGAGATTTCTTGGGTTATAGTCAAAACTGGTTACATTTTCAAGTTCTACCCCTGTGTGTTCACAAATTCTGGACTTTGGCGCCCAAAATCCCTGACCATTGGCCAAAGGAGCTGAGGCTTCTAGAAAGCTGAAGTCCAAAACACCTGGAGGACTAGAGACTGGGAATCACCAAAACCAACCCATATCTTATGTCTGATTCTTTTGGGTGTTTTTTTCTAATGGGCAACCAATAAATACAGAAAGGAACAAGCTTTATATGTGCTTCCTAAACATTAGATTCCACATGACACAGACATAATAGCCATACTTTCTGTTTATGAAGCATCATGGGCAGTTTTGTTGCGGCATTGAATAACCCCCAGAATACTCATTGGAGAACCTTTTAAATCTACTTACCTCTTTGTCACCACCTTGACACACAGCCCATGCACCTCCTATACAACCATTTATTATTTGAAGTGTACAGAGAGTTAATTCAATTCCACTCAGGACAAGCAGGACAGAGGAAAAGCCAGTGTGCCAGTCAGTGATATACTTTGGCTGTTCGCAGTGACATGAGTCAGAGTGTTCAAACTGGATCCTGTAGAGATCAATTACAAATGTTCACTTAAAACTTACAGGGTGGGGTGGAAATGGCACACAGAGATCAGCAATAGCATTTGTTACTGTTCCGGTTGTACATTTCCTTTGAGGATGTATGCCTCCCTATCTCTGTGCTGGACTAAACATACAGAGCTCCCTTATAATCATGGGTAGGCAAGCAGAAACAAAGAGCATACCATTAAATTATGAAACTGATTTCCAGAGTGTAAAATGATGGCCATCAACCTGGAGAGCTTGAAAAACTGAGAATGATATACAGGCTTTAATAGATCCAACGTTTTCTCCACTACCAAATTCAGTATGCTATTGTATATCAGTTGCTGGAGAAGACAATACTGTAGTAGTCATGCCCTCCTGGAATGCTTCTGAGAGGTAACTGGTTGCTTCCTGTGTGACAGTATGCCTTGCTAATCTTAAGTGATTATGATCTCCACATAACATAGCTGTTCTTCTCTATACTAAGACTATTTGCACCAACAGACAATTCACCGATGGCACATTGCTAACTTGCATTGGTCAAGGATAACTTAATGTCTTCCAGATGTTTTGGTATGGAAGTCCCATAATCCTGGACATATCACCCTCCTGGTAGAAGTAGATAGATGTAGTAGAATAAATGTATGGAGCATACAAGGTTGTCTACCCTATATGTCCCCATCTCATTTCCCCTTTTCATTTGGAAGTATTATTTAACTACAAGGTAGTAAGCCACAGAAGAGCTACATACCCTTCTTTATCAGCAGGAGGGTGATGGCACCTGGCCTTATCTGTTGAATAACAGTAGGGTTCATGGGCTAAAGTTAGAGCTGAAATGATGAAACAGTATCCAGCACCAAGAATTCCAATACAGGCAACCAAGATTGATGCCAGCATCTGCAATATGAAAATAAAGCATGGAATTGTTATCGTCTTCTGAGTACTTGTTTGGACCTCAACTTTAAATAATGAGTGAAGAGAAGTGTTCACTTACTGCACAGTTTTGCCTATGGATCTCATATGGACAGCATCCACGAAATTGTTCATGTTGTAATCGAATAAACACAAGTGCTGGGATCATAATCTAGTTTAAAAAATAAATCTCAATGATTAATTGATTGTATTTCTACAACATGGGCTTGTATCAATAACTGTGTTATGATGTGACTCATCTTAGTTCTGCACTCCATTCTAAATTATTTCTGGTCAGCTTGTTGAATAACAAAGATAGGTTTAAGTGCTAGTCCCAATTAGGATAGACCTACTGAGTCTATAGAAGGTATATAAATGTTGATTTTACTAAGTTCTCATTTATTAAATAGGTCCAACTCTAATCGAGACTAGTAGTTGGAGTGAGACCAACTTTTTCATAGAGCCTGCCATGTAGGACACCATCAACTGGATGATCGGAGGATCTGATTGGATATCAGTAACTTGATGATCAGCCAGTTAGACATAGTGCACACACACATTTCCCCACAGAGGAAAACATGCAAGTCACGCCACCATGTACCATACCCAGAAGCACAAAGCAGAAGCAGCATAACAATATGTAATAATAACCATCGGAAATACAAACAACACAAACATCCAATGTGTAGAACATCTAAAAAAGCTAGTAGATCACAAGCAACATTCACTTTAGGTTAACTTAGTGGTTCCCAACCTGTGGGTCCCCAGATGTTTTGGCCTTCAACTCCCAGAAATCCTAACAACTGGTAAACTCGCTGGGATTCTGGGAGTTGTAGGCCAAAACACCTGTGGACCCACAGGTTGAGAACCACTGGGTTAATCTATTATGCATGTAGGATATGAAATTCTTATTTTAAAAACAAATGTGTTTATGTTTCTTTTTTACAGTCTTATTTGATGTTGTTGCACATTAATAGAAAAAGGAGCTTGTTCTGTTACTCATGCTACTTCAAATTTAATTTCAAGGAATCATGTACATTTTGACAAAATGGCAAAAATTGTGTGGAAATGACTCTATCAGGTTTGTAAGCAATTTTTTTTCTCGGAAAGCTAAGCTATTCTTATTTTGCTTTTATGAGGACCAATTAGGACTCACTTTCCAGAACACAATCAATTGGCATATGAGGCAACTTTTCTGTTGAAACCAAACAAGTACGGGATTTGTTCAATGCATGGAAATGTTATGAATACCACTTTGATTGCCATGGAAGGACAGTCAAATACAATTGTTAAGATTTATTTCCAAAAGCAATATCAAGGAGTTTATAATTGAGTTTGTACATGTCACTGCAACCCAATGTCACAATTGGCTGTGCTCTAGACTTGAGGAATTGACTTTGAGTCATGGCCTCAAAATCCATGAATCTGAGTCAGCTGTGAGAGACACACAATTCAAAGTTGAAGGTTCTGGCCCAAATTATTGTTTTGATTTTCAAAATCGGGCTTAGCTCATAGTCCTTCCAACAATTTGTTGGCAATAAAGCAATCTGAGGTCATTCTGCTGTCTACACAGTTTTTCACTCCAAATCTGAATTGGCACCACTTTGTTTTTCTCTCTTTTCCGGGGACAATATCTCTTCCACTGCTATGGTTCCATACCATTTTAGGAAGAGGTATAGGGTTCTCAGTCACAGAGCTCTAGTGCCTCACCAAACTACAGTTCCAGGATCCCAATTGGAATCATAAAAGTATAATTGTTCAGTGTGAAAGGTACCTTGGCCATCATGCAATAGGAACCTCAAAAGTGTAAATAAGAATTATATACAATGCTCAGGGTGATGGAAAGCCAGCTGTCTTCATTTCAGGTGCATATGAAAGCTTTCATTTCCTTTTTCATGGTTGTAAATCACCTCAGCATTCTCTGTAGACCCTAGTTTCCTGGTCATGGAAACCCCCATTTACACAGGAGATATGTTCCAAGACACACAACATGGATATCTGAAACCATGCATAACAGTGAACCCTACATTTTGACTATATTTGGGCAGGGAACATAATATGGAACCTCATCCCATGAAGAGGGGCAAGTGATGAAAAGTAGAGGGAACCGCCTTGTTTTGTTCTCTATCGTATAGGTTCTGTTCCTTTCCATATTCTTCAAGGATGGCAACCATCCCACGTCCTTTCCCTGCCTCCATTCATCTTTTGGCATTGGGAATCAGGTAGCACCCGACTCCAGAACATGCAGTCTTTGCTACATTTCCCTGTGCTGCCACAACAGAGTCCCACAGGCAACCACCAGAAGTGGCCTTATGTCATTTGATGGCCTCTATGGGACTGGAGGAGTCCTAGAGAATCTCACGAACACTTCTGGGGGAAAATACTTTTGGATCATATAAAATCCATAAATAAGGGGCTTGCACTGTACTATATATTACTATTACAGCTACAACAACTGTTCTTTGTGCAATTCTTTTAGTTAAAATTGTTTTCAGTGATGTTTGCTAGCTACTTTGACCATAGTTCTCCAGTAGGCTAGTCAGTGGTTTGCCACTTTCCTGAATTGTAGCAAAGAGCCTTGGTTAAAATTGTGCATGGTCAAGGAGGTTAGGATCCCAAAAGATGGATAAAAATGGATTCTTCCCAAAGGTCAACATGGAAAATCATTACAAAATTCTAATGCAAAAAGGCATTATGGGCATTTTCCTAACTTGAAACCTCTGGTTCAGTTGGTCCATGGTCCATTCTGCTACTCCTGCAAACACATGTGCATGCACGCGCACACACAACAGCGACTCAACTCAGATTATCCAGAGAAAGAAAGAGAAAAGAAAATTTATTGGTTACTCACCAAAATACCTCCTCCTATAATACCATGAAGGCAACCTACGTAATTGCCAAGATGGCCCTGTGACGTTTCACCATTGGGGAAATAAAGCAAAATGTTCATCACAATGCAGAGTATGGCTAAAACAAGCAGCTTGTAGCCCAAGTATCTGGCACACCACTCAAAAAACATGTTGCTTGCTGTTTTATAAAACTGCTGTCTGCAGAGTAGCTATGCTGAAAAGCAGCCAGCATATACCAATTCAAACAACAAAAAGGAGAGTGAGCTGTACTCATTCCTTCTTAAATACCCTGGTTTTCCTGAATACCTCAGTGATGAGTACCTGTTGGTATGGTTGTGACTTGTAAGCGCCAAAAGAAAGCATAGTGTCACTGCTCATTGGTAATCAAACAGTCAGAAAATTACTACAGCGGTCCAGCTGGCCTGAATTGTATCTTACTACCTACACATGTATAACAGGTTTGTAGACATGGTGGCAAGGGACGTTTTTGTACTTTTCTTGAAAAGTTGGAAGGGAATGAGAAAAAATGGGATGGGATGGGGTGGGGGACAAAATGTATAGATTTCCACAATATAAAGAACTTTATTTAATGAGTTGTCAAAGTCTTTCATGGCCAGAATCACTGGGTTGCTTTGAGTTTTCCAGGCTGTACGGCCATATTCCAGAAGCATTCTGTCCTGACCTTTCTCCCACATCACATCTATGGCAGGCATCCTCATAGGTTGTGAGATCTGTTGGAAACTAGGCAAGTGGGTTTATATATCTGTGGAATGTCCAAGGTGGGAGAAAGAACTCTTGTCTGTTTGAGGCCGGTGTGACTGTTGCAACTGGCCACCTTGATTAGCATAGAATAGCCTTGCAGTTTCAAAGGCTCACTGCTTCCTGCATGGGGGAATCGTTTGTTGGGAGGTGCTAAATGGCTCTGATTGTTTCCAGTCTGGAATTCCCCTGCTTTTTTTTTTTAGTGTTGTTCCATATACTGTACTGATTTTAGAGGTTTTTTTTAATACTGATAGCCAGATTTTGTTCATGGTTTCATTGTACCCTCCTTTCTGTTGATATTGTCCACATGCTTGAAATCCACAAGCATTTTCCACACCAATTAAAAAAGGAAAAAACATTAATACATCCTTTCCCTACAAGATGACACTCTTCTAATTCAAAAAAACAAATAATGAAGGTTTGACCCCCCTTTTCCTGAAAAAAGTAATAAAAGACCCACTCTTTCTTGAAATTGATTAGAGATTTCTCTTTAATCAACATGGTAAGTTTGTCCATTTTTGCTAGGTCACACATCTTCATAGGCCAATCTTCTTGCTTTGGGGTAGTTGATTCTTTCCATCTTTGAGCATAGATTATTCTCACTGCCATGGTCATATATAACATTAGTCTTCCACATTTCTCTTAAGTTGATCATCCAACATGCCAAGCAAATAGTGTTCAGATTTCATCCCTTCTAGAACCAGATGTATTTGCACCCAGTATTTCTGGACCTTTATACATAATCACCGCATATGATAAAATGTACCAATATTTTCCCACTATTCCACCAGAGCTATTTTTACACCAGCCACAAGGATTCTTGAAGGAGAAAAGACATATATAGACCACTACACTATTACATAATTAGCTAACACTTTAAACCACATACGAGAGAGTGCATGACCTTCTAGGTGATTTAAAACTGTGGCTCCCATAATCCATTAATGTTGCCAATGCTGAGCTGGACTGATGGGAAATGTTGGCCACTCTTAAAATAAACCCTGATCACATTTATAACCATAGATTTGAATTAGATGTATTTCCACGTGCTTTATATTGTGTCAGGTGAAAGAAATGAAGTATCTACATACTTTTAAATCATTTCTGGTTTATGGCATGATTTAGAGAGGGGGAGATGGAATTATGAAAGTTGTAATTTGCTGAGGCACCAACACTCTTTGGCAGAGGAGGTTAAAGATCTTGTAAAACTACAACTCTGAGGATTCCACAGTAGTGTCAAAATACATTAATTTTACAGTGTAAGTGCACCTTTAGAATGGAACTTTGGTAGTTAAAGTGGTATTAAATGCTGTAGCTGTGTAATGTGCAATTTGATTAATAAGCCCTGTTGTATTCTGTGGGACTTGCATCTGAATAAATGTGTGTAGGGTTTACTTTGGAGTAACCTTACACCACCCAAAATATGCATCATTTTTGGCTTTTACCATGATTGTGTAGGTGCTTTCCTCGTGTATATGAACTTTCATTTGTTTCTTAATATGTCATCATCACATCTGCTCAGACATCCTAATAAACCAAATATAGTTCATGGAAAACGCAAGGAGACACTTTGAAGTCATCATAAAGCCAGGTTTAATTTGCACTAAAATACATTTAATTGCTGTCATTAAAAAGAGGATAGACTTTAGTAATGGAGGATCTCTGGGCCAGTGGCCAAAAAGGATAACACAAAACTTTTGTCCTTCAGTTTTTGGTATACATGGTTGTGATACAGAAGCTTTTGTTCAAAAGAGACAGAAGAGTCATTTCACAGTACCCAATTATAAAACTGTAATTCCGTTTTAACCAGTGTGGGGTGCATCTACATTGTAGAATTAGTGCACTTTGACATCACTTTTCATGCCACGGATCAATGCTATGGAATCTTGAATTGTAGTTCTACAAGGTCTTTATGTTTTCTTCCCAAAGACCAAAGTACAACTCCCATAAGTCCATAGTATTGAGCAATAGCAGGTAACATGTTGTCAGACTGCATTAATTCTTAGAGCTTAGCTTTGAGTCACTATTTCAGGGATCATCCTTTTTCTTTGCCCTGTCAAGGATATACTGGAAACTGAATTTGGCTGTGGTAAAGAAGGCAAAATGGGGTTGGACTGGGTGTTTGTGTGTGCGTTAAAGGAGCAACCAGAGGCCACCTCTCCCCCTCCCCTTTCCTCAGAGGAGCATTTCCACAAATTGGGTAAACATATCATCTTAAACATGAGAACAACTAATACCATCACATTACAGACTTGGCCATTTTGTCCATCTACATCTGGATCATTACTCAAAAATCCACTTCCCCACCAGCTCTGGAAATATATGAAAAGATAGCAGTTCCCAACTCTTTAGACATGGAAAGAATAATCTACCCTAGACTTGGACCCAACTGAATGTGATGAACACAGTGGGTTACCACTTCTAAAGTGTAAGACTCAGTGGAATTTAGTAAATGTGGAACAATTTGTTTTTTGGGTCTAAAGACAATTGCAATTGCATAGGAATATGCTCTCCAGTCCAACCACCTATCATGTGGAAATACATAATCAAATCAAAGTTCGTTTTTAAAAGTTTGTATTCATGTATTGACTATGCACACCTTGTGGACCGTAGTGAGCTGAGAAGAGAGACAGAAATGTTTTAAAAAATAAATCACATAAATAAAAAGAGAAGAACCAAAACTCTGTGGGGATAAATCACCAGGGTGCTGCTGTTTTGTTTTGTTTTTTTCAAGTGCTACTACCAAGACTGAAAATAACATCTCCCTTGAAAATCTCTTGAAAGTATCCAGCTAAAACTTACAGCACGAAGCAGTCCAGCAATCTGACAACAGCTTTGCCAGGATTTACAGAGCCGAACTATAGGGATGTTTTGATTAGCAGAGATGGCAACATCCTCTTCAGGCTTTCCTGTTTCCTGTTGGTTTAGCTGTAATCCTTGCAGATAGTGTTTCCTTGCAATAATATGTTGTTGTGAGCTGTTGTTGTTTTCATTGTTATTTGTTATCAAATCAACATCAATTCATGGAAACTATATGGAGTAAAAGACCACTAAGATTCTTGGTTTATCAACCATTTTAGGTCTTGCAAATTCAGGGCTATAATGTTGACAGCTGTAGTGCAGTCTGTATTTTCATATGGCTTCCCATTTTACCAAGAATTGTTGTATTTTACAATGGGTCACATCATATCATGATATGTCTGAAATATGACAGCCTCGGTTTAATCATTTTAGCTTCTAGGGAAATTTTAGGCATGCTTTGCTCTGAAGACCTATTTCTTTGTCTTTGTAGCAGCCAGTGATATCGGTAGAACTTCTTTCCGATGCATATTCAAAGTGGATAGATTTTCTTCCTCTGAGATTTTTTCACTGTGCACACCTTTCACAATCATGGATAAAAATTAAAAATAATCTGGATGATTTTGACTTTAGTAATTATATAATATTTGAGAATCTTTTTGAGTTTGCCTTTCCAAGTCTTAGTCTCTGTTTGATTTTTTGGCTAGCGTCTCCTATTTTGGTATACAACCTTTTTTTCAGTGCCTTCATTAACCATTTAAAGTTGTGTAAAGTATTTGGGATGGACTGCTGTGGAATGGGCAATTGAGCCACAGCATTACAGGTGAAAATTGCTACAATTGATTCTGAGATAGTGCTTCTTCTTGTTGCTGGACAGGAAAATAAAGCCCTGCATGATATAGTGTTGGACTATGACTCTGGAGACCTGGCTTTGAATTCCTGCTTAGTCATGAGAACCTAGGGCAAATCACACTCTGTCAACCCCGGAGAAAGGCAATAACATCTCCCATCAGAAAGAATAATGCATGAAAAGACCATGATAGAGTTGCCATAAGGCAGAAAGAACCTAAAAGCACACAGTAATAATGAGCTCAAAAAACTCCTAGAAAAATCCATATTCATTTCTTCTTTTTCTTGAGCAACCTCTGGATTTTTCTGCCAACATCTAACATGCTACTAACACCTTCCCTGCCTTCCGCCAGCTCACTATTCATATCATTTTCAGATGAAATGATAAACTAGGTGTTATGCATTTTTTCCCATGTCAGGAGCGACTTAAGAAATTGCAAGTTGCTTCTGGTGTGAGAAAATTGGCCGTTTGCAAGGACGTTGCCCAGGGGATGCCTGGATGTTTTGTTGTTTTACCATCCTTGTGAAAGGCTTCTCTCATGTCCTTACATGGGGAGCTGGAGCTGACAGAGGGAGCTCATCTGCACTTTCCCTGGAGTTGAACCTCTGCCCTGTCGGTCTTCAGTCCTGCCTGCATGAGGATTTAACGCAATGCGCCACCAGCTATGCATGTTACGCATGTACTGCTGTGATTTTGGTCTGTGAATGTGTTCTGATGTGGAAATCAAAACAGCTTCCTCTATTTTTGTAATTTTCCTTG